TACATGGCTACAGCAGCACTTAATGCATTGAGACACCCTGGGCAATTTTTCTGGATGAAAACGCCAACTTGATCCATTATGCTCATGAATCCCAGCACGTTTTCGAGTATGGCGACCTTGGTTGTAGCATGTTTGAAGCTAAAACTTCATGATTACCATGCTTGAACATGCATTTTTGTTGATAGCTTGGGTTGGCCAAGTAGCCTTGGGCCTGCAAGCCTTCATCCGGGCCACACACGCCAGTAGTTGTTTGCTATTGATATCTGATAGCATTCCCCTTGCGCCCAATGAACTGTATGGGGTGCAAGGAAACCCTGCAACATATAGGGATACCTCAGGGGCCGGAACCAACACGAGATTAGTGATATGATGTGACATGGAAAATCCAAACCAATTGAACTGCAACTATTACACCCGGTCACCTTTCCCACAAGACGCTGATTGTTCTGCGTCAGGACGGTCTTGTTGAACCTTTGCTGGCTGCTGAATTGTTTCACTTAATGCCAGAGTAATTATAGAAGTAACAATTGATGCTGGCAATGGGTCTTGGAAACATTCAGCCAAGACTCTGCAGGATCTTGAAATTGTCTTTCAGAAATTGTTGCTTCTTGGGGTCGATCTCTGATGCCGACCTAACTTGTTACAACTTCCCCGATGTGCAATTAGCACTTTGTCAACCGATGTGTTTGTGTGATGAAGTAATTTTTGTGGCTTCAGAAAACGTGACCAAGTTGCAAATGCACAAGGCACTTTGATTTGCCAGCTGCCCCAAATAAGAGCTGCAAGGCCATAAATGGAGTATCAGCACCGCTGCCTTATTTCCGAGAACAGCTGCCAAAAACCAAGTTTTGGCTATTTGAAGTGCATAGCCGGGTAATGTCACTCAATGTATCTGCATATGCATGCATATCTTTACATGTATGTGGAAGTATGTGGATGCATGTGCACGGGACGTATATGTATGTGTGTTGCATTCATTTTACATGTGTATGCATACGTATGTGTATATATATATACATGTATACATGTAGTAAAAAGGCGTACATGTATCCTTGGAGGTATGTACAAACATATCTACGGTACATGTAAATTGTTAAAATTAAATGCATTTTATTATATAGGTATGTAAGTATATATACGGTGGGTCATGGTGGGTTTGTGTGTGGATAGGCAGTCTGGTAATTCTGGCAGTCAGGGCGCGGTCAGATACGAAGGTGAACGGTCCATCCCAGGAGTCCATCCATGCACCCAATCCTTACATAGGGTAATGGCATGGGAGCAGGGGGCATTAAACAACCAAGACAGGCAAGGTTCCGGATTGTTCCAGGAAAGGCAGCCAAGGTTCCGGAACGTTCCAGAAAAAGAGGACCAGCTTCCTCCAGGTGGTCCACGACGATCTTGGGCAGGGCTGCGTCACTGGGTGGGTCCTGTCACGGGCTAGTTGGGTGACCCTGAAGGTGATAGTGACTTTACTGAATGATTACTCATGCTAACTAACTCGATGGCTATGATACTAGACATCAGAGTGAGCAAGCCACTGGATTACATGCTAGGCCCCCCCCCAGGTACTCCTCCACCGAAAAATCTGAAACAGACTCACACTCACTGGTGGATCCCAGTGACGAACTGGATGAGCTCATGGCGTGCCACCAGGAAGGGCTGATTGTAAAACCTTCATCCATGTGTGTGTTTACTTACCATTTGATCCAATCTATCTTTACCATTTGATCTTGTGATCTATTTGCTGGATGGGTAAGTCTACTCATGGGTATTCTATTCGTTTCATCTAAGTTAGGTCGGCTACGAGAATGATCCAAACACACTTCACTACTTGGGCCATGCATGGGCTGTCGGGGCATGCTGGCCAAAGACTCAGTTGCAGATTGGAAAAGACCCACTTGCTACTGGACAAGCCTATTAGTTTTTTTATTTTCTCAGTCAAATCTTCTCCACACAGACTTCCAAAATGAAATAAATAGAATAAATAAAATACATATTTATTTTACTTATTTTGTTATTTTCTCAGAAGCTTCAAAATTTAATAAATAAAATAAATTCTATTTTATCCATTTTTTTATTTTCTCAGGAGCTCCAAGTTTAAAAAAAAAATATATATTATTTTTATTTATTTATTTTCTCAGGAGCCCCAAATTTTAGTAAACAAAATAAATAAAATAAATACCTATTCTATTTATTAAATTTTGAAGCTTTTTAAGAAAATACATATCACAATTTCAATAAATATCACGGGTATGGCCTTTGAAGTTAAACTTAAGGAACATTTCAGAAGGAATCTTCAGCCGTCAAATGGTACAGAAAGGTCTCTCTAACATATATATATTTTTTGTAAGACCCTCCCTTAGTCTATATATAACATATATTTATATATATATATATACATTTTTTGTTAAGACCCTCCCTTAGTCTATATATAACATATATTTTTATATATATATATATACACACTTTTTTTTAAAGACCCTCCCTTAGTCTATATATAACATATATATATATATATATTTAACATATATTTATACATATTTGTTTTTGAGACCCTGCTTAGACCCAGACCCCCCTCCCCCAGAGCTCCGAGCTCCCTAGACCCAGCTCCAACGGTCTTTACTCAGTTGTTCTTTTCTCAAAAGAGCGTCATCAGTAAAAGACATAAACTTATTAACAATGTTGCAGACTCATTATCCTGAAGCCTTAGACCAATACTAACTATAGCCCATCTCATCTTGGATGATATTTTTTTTTATTTTTTTAAGCTTTCGATTTTCTTCACTGCATGGCAAGGACATACTAAGCTTAGAAAAGAAAAGCACTATGTCTTAGGGCCATGTTGTGCCACTACAAGGGCGAGTGCATGATATTCAACAGTTGCACAGGAAGAAAACAGGATGGAAAGTAGAACAGTTATACATACATACCTATGTATATATATATATCATATTGAAGAAAATCGTTTAGTTCAAAAACATGCTACATTTGTCATGGGCATGAAGCTCAATATTTATTTGAATGAGTAATCTTGAATGACCATCTACAGTCATCCCAGGGGAGCAGGCAGCTAGATCATATTTTTTTTCGTGATTTGCGTAGCCAATTTACACTCATTGAGGTCTTTGTGCAGTCCAACTCCACACATGGGTCACTTCAAGCTCGATTTCAAATAGGGCCAACAATAGTGCTACAACTTTTCAAATCTACAAAGACAAGCTTGCAATGTATGACATGGCCCAATGCAATGATTACTTCTATTTGGTTTTTTACAGGTAATTCAAGAGATAGTTAGGACCACCCTTGCTGCAGTGTCTTAATCTGCTGATAATATTTTTCTAAAATGCGGAAAAAGGAGGCATACTCTTGAAGATGCTTGCTTGATCAGCACATTCACTCACAAATTTTGATTGCAGGATTTCTGTCCATATTATTTCCGTACTGCTTTCATATTTGTTGAAACATGCATAGCGTAGCATGAAAAGAGCATGATACAACTCACCACTCTGCAAAGGTATTGCCAGTGAAGAACATGTCATGTGCTATTTCTGTAACACAATGATGGGTAATGTATATGTATGCTATTTGCTTGTGTAGCTAGTGCAGCTTGTATGTGACACTATTTGCAAAGTTTCCTGTTTACCCGTATTGTTGGCTTACCAAGATTGGTTCTAAGCATTCTTATATATTCCATGCGCACTATATAAAAGTTGAAAAAATGAGTTTGCACTGTACATATGTGAGAAGAGTGATTTGCTCCATGCCTTTTCATGATCACTATTAGTTTGTGATGAAGTTTGCACTTTATTGCAAGACTGGGTAGAGCCATTGAAATCTGTTCACACTTGGGTTAATCTCGGGACAACACTTGAGTCCTGTAAGGTTTCAAACCCTGATATACCCTTTGCAAGTACAATTGCCTGCATTTCTCATGATGTTGCAAGGCTGTACTTTAGTTTTTTCTGGTAGAAACCACCAATTCTAAGCAATAGTAGTATAGTTGCATGAACAAATTTTTATGGTGATGTCAAACGGGCACTTGTTCAACATGGACTGTGAGATTTGCTTAGCTTTTCTAATCGACCATTTTTGGGTATTGTAACATGTATATATATATGTGATCAAGCAAACAATCGAAATGCCTGTTCGCCGCGCTCAAGCTCATGAGTCCGAGTCTTTTGTCCACGGTCCAGTTCATCCTGGAAGGTCACGAACAAACTTCTTCGGTTGGGGGTGTCCTTCATACTGTTTTCAACCCACTTATTCTTCCTGGATTTTGATCTTTTCTGTGGGTTTGATCTCAGGGTTTGCCCTTGCCCTATATCCTTGCTCTGTTCCCTGCTGCTCCTTCGCCAGGTTCTGTGCCCCAAAATCCTAGGTACTCGGTGCTTGCCGAGTATCTGAATGAGCCAAGGGCCCAACGACCACGGCATCGTTGAACTTTCTGTCAAGTTGGGGGAGCTCCAGGTCACCATCAAAGGCCCTGTGCGAAAGGCCGCCAAGCTTTTGCAGGACATCACAAGCCGAGGTCCTCCTAGCTCTCCTGCTGGCACTTCTGAGACTTCTTTTGCTGTGGTGTCTGAAGCTGAGCACACCTCATCACGGAGATCTGAGACAAGTGCGGAGATTGAAGCCTCGTTTGAGGGGTGCCCTGCCTATCTCATTGCAGACGGTCATCGCCTTTCTGGTGGCCCACTGTCTGGTCAAGACAGGGTGCGACGAGCTTGGTTGGCTGGAAAGTGGGCACGTGCTTTCTCTTCAGGGAGGTCAAGCACTCCAAACGCCACTCCACAGCTGCCGTTGCGATCGAGGTTCTACGCTGTGCTCAGATCAGAGCGTTTGCAGCGGCCCACCATATACAGATCGGCACGATCATACTGGGCTTGCGTGGGGGAACTGGCCTCATCAGACTCCATTTCCCATTCGTTTCCCTCTGAACAAGAAGCCAAGGTGTACTTTGCCGGGGCAGGCGTCTCCGACTTTGACATCTTGCAGTAGACATGGATTCCCTAGATGGATTAGAAGCTGCGGAGCCTCCCGACATTGTCCTGGCCACGGAAGTGCTAGAGCCCTATGTGCTCACATGGCAACTGGGGGAAACCACAGATGGAGAAGGAGAATGTTCAGTTTTGGCAATTATGAGGCAGACAGATGGTTATCTTCTCGCCATGCCACCAGGCTTCCTCCCAAGGTGATCCAGGCGGGAAACAGTGCGGTCTTGACAGACATGTTTGCCTTCTACACACCGGAAGAGCTCGAAGACCTTCCGGATACGCCTCCGTCAAGAAATGCCACTCAGCGTGGGCCAGGGCGCAAGCCTACCGCTTCCGCAGGGCAACCAAAAGCCAAACGCCCCACTGCAGCTTCCCTGGCGGTGGAGATGAAACAGCTGGTGGACTACTTGCCAAAGACTTCAGAGCAGTTGGCCACGCTTTCTCACAGGCAGGATCTGGTAGAGAACAGACTGGCTCACCCTATGTCATCAGCATCTTTGATCTCATCCAGACCTCTGGGCGCTGCTCTCGCTCCGACGCAGGAGCCACCTTTGGGTCAACTGGCAAAGGCAATGGGAGCCCCTCCTCGGAGCACTTCTGCTCCGAACCTTGGTTTGTTGGGTTCCCTTACAGAGACAAAGCCTGCGGAGATTCAAGGCCTAGAATCCGAGAAGCTGGAAGATGCAGTGCAGTTGAGCCAGAGAGGAGACGTCTCTCTGGCGTTAGCAGTGCTGGAGCAGTCAAAGGCTTTGACAACCTTGGTGTCTCAGATTGCAGCGGCTCAGAACGACCCCATGGCAGATCTCTCTGTCGGCAGCTCTGCCAGCACACGAGGGGCGGCAGGACGTGCTTGCCTTCAAGCAGAACTGGCTCAGCAGAAGGGCACGTTTTTCCAATCAGTTCTCCTGCAGATGGCCCGGAGAATGTCCCCAACAACTTCAATGGATGTCTCTCCTCAAGTTCTCATGGACAGGGGTGTGTCTGGCACGAGATATTTAGAGCGTTTTGGGGGCTACTCCAGACAGCGAGAACTTGACCATGCAGCTGCAGTACCAAGTGATGACAGCCTTCGACTACTTGCTGCAGGACAACATCCCGGCAGCGAAGGATGCAGTGGCATTGCTGGCTGTGTCCATCGAGCAAGCTGCTTTGGACAATGGCCGCATGGACTTGGCCACCTTGCTGTGTCTTCAGGAGGACCCCCCGTTGGGGATCTTTCTGAATCGCCAGATAGCCAGCACCAGCAGAGCCAGGAGCTTCGCTCCCCTTGCCGACCAGAAGTGGATCACATGTGTATTGGCCTTCCTGAAGGAGTTGGAGGTGATCGCAGCGAAAAGGGCAGAATTGACAGCGCCACCAAAAGGCACTTCCCCGGCTTCATCAGAGGCAAAGCCGAAGCCGAAATCAAAGAAGTTGGCAGGAAGAGGAAAAGGGCGAGCCGAGCCAGAGGAGCCAGAGACCTAGAATGTGGCGAAGATCGACGGCTTTGTTTCAATGGTGAGCGCCTCCGCACAGATGAGGGACTGGAGTCAAGCCCTCTTGAGGCCTCACTTGATTTTTGTACTTGGGCCATTTGCTTGCCCAGGTGGATTTCGAGGTGCAAAACCAGTTTTTCTTGGCACCTCACAAAAAGCTTCACCGCTTCCAGACATAGTTCTTCTTTGTCTTCCACAGCATTTCCGCTGCCTTTGCCCCTTGATGGATGCTTTCAGTGCAGTGGCCCCAGTCTCTCAAAGAAGCGTTTGTTGGCTGTAGCAAAGAGGCGACTCTTACACATTTTGGTTTATAGCCTGAACGTTTTGTACCTTGGCAGATTCCCTACAGCCGAGGAGGTTGGGAGGTGCCCTACGGTCTGGCACTTGAAGTGCTATCAGAGACTCAGGGCGCTCATTGCTGTGTGTGGAGATGATGCCGGTCGGTTTCCTGTGCCTCCCGGCCGCTCCGGTCCTGAATTAGTTGCACACTTGTTTCAGCTTGAGAAGTTTCTTGACCGAAGTGAAGAGAAATTTGATAGCTACCAGAGGCCAAGTCCATCTGAGTTTCAACCAGATCCTTCGCTTTTGCTTGCGGGAGATCACCCTGAGCTGTTCCCCTACAAGAACCTTGATGCAGACCGATTGAAACTGGTTGGTGAAGGCAAATGGCCAATGGCTGACTTCATTGAAGGACCACTGTGGCTCCCTTTCGTTGAACCTCGTTTTCTTTTGCATGGCCTGGATATTTCACAATGTGATCTCCCCAATTTTGCATATGAAGACAAGGATGAGAATCTCAAGCTTGTCAAGATTTGGGATAGGAAAGGGCTCCTACGGCTTTACAGATCCCCTCTTGCACCCAGTCATTTTTGCCGGGTTTTCAACGCCTACAAGAGCACTGACTGTGATCGGCAAATTGGGGATCGCAGGATTCCCAATGCCCGTGAAAGAGCGATTGATGGGCCTTCAGCCTTTCTGCCCCCGGGCTTCAGCTTGACCAACATGAGGACCCGACCTTTTGCCGAGCGTTTGGTTGCCAGCATCACGGACAGGCGAGACTTTTACCATCAAGCCCAGGTCACTGATGAAAGAGCAGTGTCCAACATGTTGCCTTTTGCGTTTTCAGAAGACCAGCTTGATGGTTGTGTTGCGCTGGATGTTGCCAAGGCAGCCGAGAAGAAGGCAAGCAGGAAGAAGAAAGATCGGGAGCTTGTAGGTGATGGTTTTGGAGATGCTCTTCATCTTTCAGCTTCCTCAGAAAATTGGTTTCCGGCGTTTGGCTCCCTTTTCCAAGGTGATCACTTGGGTGTTGAATTTGCTTTGGAATCCCATGAGACTCTGCTCAAGCGTGGTGGCCTTTTGATTGATGAGCACCGCCTGAGCGGGCGCCATCCATTTCCGCTCACTGGAAAGGTTGGAGGGCTTATCATTGATGACTACTTTGCCATTGGGCGAGAGAGCAGGTCTGAGCAGCCCCCAAACACTTTTGCTGCTCAGGCTTTGGCTCGGGCTCGACAGCTTTATGATGCGGGTGGACTTTTGGGGTCAACAGAGAAGGACGTTGTTGCTGCCTCGGTCTTTAAAGCTGCAGGCGCTGAGGTTGTCTCTTCAGATTGTGCCATTGACCTGGGTTTGACAACAGTTGGAGCTCCTTGCGCAAAACGGCTTGCCTTGAGCACTTTGTCACTCCGAGCTGCTAGAATGAATGTCACGACGGCGAAGCTGCTTTCCAGACTGGCTGGCAGTTGGACATCAGTCATCATGTTTCGCAGGTGTTTTTCTGCGGTTGTCCAGGACATGTTCAAGCTGGCATCAGAAGCTGAGTCGCAGGGTTCAAACTGTTTGGTGCCTTTATCACCTTCAGTGCGAGAAGAGCTCATCATGCTTGCTGTTTTTGCGCCAATCATTGTCACCAATGTCGCAGTCAACTATGGGCAGGTTGTTTTTTCTTCAGACGCCTCACTCGCCAAGGGTGCTTTCACTAGCCGCAGGATCACTGAAGAGACTGCTGAGGTTTTGCGGTTGGGCAGCGACAAGAAAGGGTGCTATAGCAAGCTTAGCTCCTTCCCCCAGACTCTGCTGGCTGCATGTGGCGAAGAGCTCGAGGATGATGCCTTTCAGGGGTCTGAGACAGTGGCATTAGCTCCTGAAAAGCCTAGGCTCTTGCGTTTTGACTTTGTGGAGATCTACGGTGGCTCAGGGCGGGTCTCCAAAGCTGCAACAGACTTTGGCCTCGTCACAGCCCCTCCTTTGGACTTAGATGCCTCTCATCACTATGGCCTTGCACAACCCAGGCTCGTGGAGTGGGTCTTCTACATGATAGAGTCTGGGCGGTTTCGCTCTTTCCTCACTGAACCTCCATGCACAACCTTCTCTGCAGCGGCATATCCAGCTTTGAGGTCATATCTTTTGCCCTTTGGTTTTGGCCCCTCCGAGAAGCGCACCAAACATGGAAATTTGCTGGCTTGCAGGTCTTTTCTTTTGCTGAGACATGGCCGCCGGCACAGAAGGCCTTGTGGAAAAGAGCAGCCCAGAAGGTCAAAGATGGCTTGGTTGAAAGCATGGTCTCAACTCAAGGCACTGGGCTTCAAGGAATCAGTAGTTGCAAGCTGCCAATTTGGTTCTCCGCACCGAAAGGAGTTTTTGCTGTTGACTTACATGTTTGATGCAGAGTCCTTACAAGTGAAGTGTCCTGAAGGCCATGATCACGTGAAGATTCAGGGCAGCCTTACAAAGCAGTCTGCAGTCTATACCTTTGATTTGGCCAAGCACTTTGCATGGCACTTCTACAGGGCCTTGCGAGCTTTGGATTTGCAGGAGGAGGAGTTCAGAGCTTGTGGCTATGAATCGGCTCTCACCAATGATGTGCTTTCCTCTGAAGATTGGAGGACTGAGCGTGTCTGGAGCTGGAAGGAGAAAAGCCACATCAATGTTTTGGAGGCAAAAAGCGCTTGTGAGATTGTCAAGAAGGCAGCTTTGGATCATACGTCTTGCCGGGTAGTTGCCTTGCTGGACTCCAGAGTTGCAAAGGGCGCCCTCACAAAAGGGAGAAGCACGGCTGTTGGTTTACAGAAAGTTTGCCGACGGAGTGCCGCCCTTCAGATTGCGGCTGATCTCCATATGGGATGGCTCTTTGCGCCAACGCGGCTGAACTGCGCTGATGACCCCACCAGGGATGTCCTTTTGAGAAGAAGCTGTGATTTTTCCATTTTGGACTTCATGAATCAGCGAGAACAGACCATGGGCAAACTGGATTAGACTTGCAGTGCTCCTCACGTGCGTGTTTTCAGCCGGAGCTGTCAAAGAGCCAGATGCATCAGGACTGAGTGAGGTTTTCCATTTTCCCAAAGGTATAATTTTTGGTAGCGGGATAGCCATGTCAGCCTTGATTGCCTTCTGTTTCATTTGGATTTTCAGCGTTGTTCAAGTCACTGATTTTGGACTTTGGATTTTTAGCTGCTTGGATTTGGACTTTGGGCAGCTTGACTTGGCCAACACTATGTCCATCTCAGCCTTCGCCCCAACCGACTGCTTTGGATTTCCTTTTGGACTTACCTCTCAGTTCGTGGCTCTTCCCTCTCCTGTCCTGGATTTCAGTGTCTTGTCTGGTCTTTTGTCTCGCGATGTCCCCCGGGTCGCGTGGATTTGTGTGGTAGTTTCGGGCGCATTTGCCATGGAAGCTTCATCAGCTGCTGATTTGCGTCGTTCTGCTTTTAGGTCTGCTGGTGGGCTCCAACCAACTAGGGTCGCAAGAAAAGAGACCTTGGAGGCCAGAACACGTTTGCTGGATGGGTTTGGAAAATGGCTTTATGAAACACATGGAGTTTTGCTTTCGGTCTTGCTGACAGCGAAGCCAGCAGACCCAGAAGAGATCACGTACTGGCTAGTACAGTACGGCCAACAAATGCGACCAAGCATCAAAAAGCAGCTGACAGGAGCATGGGACCTTGCGTTTGCCTGGTTGGCTGCCAACATCATGCAGCATTGCCGCTGTCCATTTTGCTGGCATTGTGTTCTCTTGCACTGCTCTGGGGCTGGCCAGTTGAGGCCTCACTTTTAGCTATGACATGGTGTGGCATTATGAGGATCAGAGAGACCTTGCTCACAACTCGAGGGGATTTGATTTTGCCTGCTGACTCAGCTCCTGGTACGAGTTTCATATTGGTCCGGATCCGTATGCCAAAAACACGAGGAAGGGCTGCTCGTCATCAGGCGGCACGTATTGACCCACCTGATGTGGTGACACTGCTGACTGCAACCTTTAAGTCCCTGCCTGAAGATGCGAAGCTCTGGAAATTGCCGGCAGCGACACTGAGGCGACGTTTTGAGTCTCTCCTGAAAGGAGTAGGTCTGCCGACTCATAGCATTGATGGGAAGCGCCCTTTCTCTCTGGGGTCCCTTCGACCTGGAGGGGCCACTTTCCTTCTTTTGCATACAGAAGACGCAGAACTGGTTCGTCGACGTGGCAGATGGGTGACGTCCAAGGTTTGCGAGATCTACTTGCAGGAGGTTTTGTACACCACGAACTTTGTCTGCAGCATTCCCACGAATCCTCCGGACTGCGGTTCGATATCTGCAAACTGGAGTGCCGACAGGTGTTTGGTATCAATGCTTCCAAGCACAAGACAATGAGGAGCTAGGGGCGGCTGGTGGAGATGATGCAAAGTACAGTGCTGCTCAGGCCAAAACATAGGCCACAGCAGCTGAGAATTCCTTCAGGAAGCGGTGACAAAAGAATGCAGTGCCATTTGCTTGTGATCAAGCAAACAATCGAAATGCCTGTTCGCCGCGCTCAAGCTCCCCAGCCCTACTTCATCCCGCCCTTGTGGATGTCTGCGCTTGCAAAGTACAGTGCTGCTCAGGCCAAAACACAGGCCACAGCAGCTGAGAATTCCTTCAGGAAGCGGTGACAAAAGAATGCAGTGCCATTTGCTTATATATATATGTACATACATGTTACATGTTGATATGATGATACACATATTGAATTTGCTACTTGCCATTGATGTATTTATAATCTGTTTTTGCAAAAGAATAAATAATGTAGAACCAAGGGTATGTGCCCTATCTCCACCCCTACTATGCTATTCTGTATGAACTTTCCAGAGCCAAATGAAATATACAATAGGTAACAATGCAACAGAAACAAAGTAATATAAACAACATAGAAAAAACAAGAACAAAACCTATCAGTAGATATAAGCACAGTTTATCAAAAAATACATCACAAAACACTGTAAAAATCGGGCCCTGGTGGCGTCCCTCTCTCTTTATTTAAAACCACTTTTTAAGTGTCAGCTTACCGGAGTTCTCCGTGCTTCAGCACAATCATAGGGGGTATTGGCGGGCTAGCCCGTGCAAAACGTAGAATTCTAGGCGTTATGTTTTAGATTTCAATTATAAAGGGGGGGAGATGTCCCTGTAGTCCAGCATAATTGGCATGCTCGGTTTTTTCTCATAAGATTTTCTATCCAGAGCATGACTGCATGTTGCAATGTCTTGTGCAGCGTGAAATGAGGGTTTATTTAAAACCCCGTTTTAAGACTTGTCCAAATCCCAAAATCCATCTCAGCGGTCTAATAACCATCTGGGGCCTGCCCAAATGCCAAAATCTAGCTCCAAAAGGTTCCTGGCCAGGATTTAGTTTCGGTTTCTGGCCAGGATTTGGCCCAAAATGGCCGTTTACAGTTTTTCCTATGTCAGCAGTTTAATAGCCAGCCGGGGCCTGCCCAAATGCAAAAATGCAGCTCGAAAAGGTTCCTGGCCACCCCCTTCTAAAACTGCTTGCAGCAACCGTTACTGAGGCTGAAGCATACCAATTATGGTCTACTACAGGGACATCTCCCTCATGGAGAGTGTGCCTCTACTGTGACACCACCCGCCAGTGCTGAACAAAAGTGGCGCAGCGTTTTCCTTTCCCACTACACTACCTTTCGTCCGCCTCTGCTTGCTCTCAAGTTTAAAACGTAGATCGGCACATCATGGCCAGTCATGGCACATCGGCAAGCCATGAAACATGACATTTACAGGGAATCAACCAAAGGGAATGTCTTTTCCACGTACTGTCAAGCGTGGTTGGAACCAAGTATGGTCTTGGTGGATCTGGCACCAAGTTTCACAGCAGATAATTGTTCTGGTAGCACTACGGTCTAGACCCTGTTTTTCATTAAAGACACTTTCACATTCGGATATTTTGGATTATTTAGGATTTCAATCTGATTCTTTTGTTTTTATCTCGTAGAGAAAATCGTTGGAGTCCGAGTACAGACTTTGGGGCAACCTGAGGCCCCAGAGCTGACGCACTTTGGCGCAAGGCATTCGCCAAGATTCGGGCCCTACGGGCTCCCAAGGCAAGATTGTTCTTAAAACTCCACTGCGTTCAAGAAAAACATGACTGAAGGAGGCTGAAGATGGTTGAAATGCACTTGGGATCAGGGATTCATTGGCAGGAGGCGGATGAAAGACCGGAGCAACGTGAACAGTCGCAGATCCTGAAGGAATTTCTGGACGGTGAGCAATTTGTTCCGGTAGAAACTGAATCCCGAGGCAGGGTGTTGTCATGAGTGGTCATGGTTATAGGGACTCTGCCAGGGTTCAGGAGCATTAAGAATTTAGAAAACTCGAGCCCTGATTACTCCTGATTGCCTTGAGGTGTGCAAGTGCATTTCGCTGAGTTGAGCCCTGTTTGTGATCAAGCAGTGCAGAATGAAGTGTCTCGGCAGAGTTCATTGCTATAGGTTTCATGGCTTCAGGGCTGAATGCTGCATGGGTTGCTGTGGCTTTTGAGCTTCATGGTTTTTCGCACTCAGGTGCTTCCAGGCCCCAGCAACCAAACTTCAGGTGTGACGACCGCCGCGGCACAGCCTGGGGATGGGGGAAGCCAGCTACCAGAGACTGCGGCTGTGGCTGGTGAGGCTCGGATGCTCTCACGGAATATCTCAGGCTTCAAATGGCTTCAGAAAGCACCCACCGTTGGCAGATGTTGGTGTAAATGTTGGTGTAGATGTTGGTGTAGATGTTGGTATATTCCGGCAGTAGGGTTGGTGTTTCTTGTCTTTGGCAGCCTATGGCATCGGTGTTTCAGGAGGTTGTTGCGCATCCAAGAGAGCAGGGAGGAGACGAAAGAGACTCTGGCAGTGAACCCAAGTCCGAAACGGAAGATGCACTACGCCTTGAGCATTCGGGTGGCCTTCCAAAGTCTAAGGAGACTGCGAGCGCATACGAAAAAATGATTGATTTTAATTAATGATTGGAACGCACACTTTGTTGATATTTCTACCAAATTTCTACCGTGGTTCTTGCTGTTCTTTGCCCCTGGTTTGTGCTCTTCTGTCGGGTAGTCATGGTTCTTTGCAGGAGGAAGCAGAGAAGGAGAGGGACCTGGAAAGGGAGAAGACGGGTCCCCAGCTGTTCTTGCGATCTCTTGCACTCACTCGATGTTTTTCTCCATGAATGCAGCATGTCATGTGAGCCTTTACGTCTTTACGTGTGTCAACTGGTCTTGAGGCGACAAGCCATGATCCAGTCAAGGCTATCCGAACTGAAGGCGGCTGACATGGCTACCATGTCTAGGATCACAGAATCATATATGGAATCATAAGGATTTTGTGTATATTAATATATGTTTGTTGTCCCCTTTGTTGATCTTTGTCAAGATAGAAAGTACATGACAGTATCCAACCGGAGGACACGCAGGGTTCATTTCAGATTGTACGAGTACCAATCTGTGGTTCATCCTAATTCATTTTGAACGACATGCAAACCACGTGCAAACGACGTGCAACGCTTCATTCTTCCCATCTGTAGCAGCCTGCAGGAGTCTTGGCAGGGCCATACTGAGCTGGACGACGCCTGGATCTTGGGGGAATGTCGTTCAACCCTAAATCTCAAACCAATGGAGAAAGCTGTTCTGCTACCAGAGTCTAGCACTACCGTCTTAAGCGTTTATTTTTTCCTCATCTTTTTTCATTTTTTCGCATACGATCCCAAAAACTCAGACATTGCTTTAACAAGTGTCATCACATGTCACCACTTGTCTGAAAAAGCACGCCCAGTGACAACACCATAAAGGTGGATGATAAGGCCCACCTGCTTGTTCTTGTTCTTGTTCTTGTTCTTGTTCTTGTTCTTGTTCTTGTCGTTGTCGTCGTTGTTGTTGTTGTTGTTGTTGATGTTGTTGTTGTTGTTGTTGTTGTTGATGTTGATGTTGTTGTTGTTGTTGTTGTTGTTGTTGTTGTTGTTGTTGTCGTTGTCGTTGTCGTTGTCGTTGTCGTTGTCGTTGAAGTTGTCGTTGTCGTTGTCCTTGTTGTTGTTGTTGTTGTTGTTGTTGTTCCCTTTCCTGGGCGTGATTGAAAATGCTGTGCTTTTCCAGTTCCCTTTCCCGGGTGTGATTGAAAATGCCGTGTTTTTCCCGTTCCCTTTCCCGGGTGTGATTGAAAATGCCGTGTTTTTCCAGTTCCCTTTCCCGGGTGTGATTGAAAATGCCGTGTTTTTCCAGTTCCCTTTCCCGGGCGCGATTGAAAATGCCGTGTTTTTCTAGTTCCCTTTCCCGGGTGTGATCGAAAATGTTGTGTTTTTCCAATTCCTTTTCTTCAGCGTGTACGAAGTGCTGTGTTTTTCCAGTTCCCTTTCTCTTTCCCAGTTCCCTTCCAGTTCCCTTCCCACTCCCTTCCCAGTTCCCTTCGCGGATTCCCTATGTTTTTCCAAGGAAAGTGCGTTGCAGACTTTTTTCTTTTAAAAAAAAAATGTTTTGTTTTTTAAAAGAAAAAAGTCTGCAACGCACTTTCCTTGGAAAAACATAGGGAATCCGCGAAGGGAACTGGGAAGGGAACCGGGAAGGGAACTGGAAGGGAACTGGAAGGGAACTGGGAAAGAGAAAGGGAACTGGAAAAACACAGCACTTCGTACACGCTGAAGAAAAGGAATTGGAAAAACACAACATTTTTGATCACACCCGGGAAAGGGAACTGGAAAAACACGGCATTTTCAATCGCGCCCGGGAAAGGGAACTGGAAAAACACAGCATTTTCAATCACGCCCAGGAAAGGGAACAACAACAACAACAACAAGAAGAAGAAGAATACAACAACAAGAACAACAAGAACAAGAACAAAAACAAGTAGGTAGGACAAACCAGATGTGAAACAGAAAAACGCACTTGCGCAATATCTTTCAGCACATCATCATTAAAAATAACCCAAAAGTCAGCTTCGTCAAAATCTTCATCATGAGCCTTAGTTGGCCAATTCAAAATGTTCAATGCACGTCTGTCACCTAATTCATATCTTCGTACAATATGTGCTAATGTTGAACAGAAAGTGAAACTTACCATTCGCTATAGACTCCTGCTGACCACCACCCCCGTACCGTAGATGGACGAATTATTCAAACCCTTATACATAGAGCAACCCCCCTCACCCCAAATATCAATGTTATTTTCTTGTTTGGTTCGTTCCTTCGAATGGACGAAATAAATCAAACCCCCGGAGCAGGAACAGCGCTACGAAACCATAACATTGAAATTCGGGGGAGGTAGGGGGTGGCCTATAACTCATGGATAGGGGTTTGAATAATTTGTCCATCTACTGTAGTAGGGAAGAATGTGCCAACTGCTACGGAGTTCTGATTTCGTCACCGCTTCGTGCTGTAGCTTTCTCATGCTTGCTCCAAGGCCATGTTTGAATTGGTGGACTCTGCCCAACATGCTGCGGAGTGTGCTCTGCAACATGGCCAGCGCATTTTGGAAGCACAAGAGAAGGCTCCGGTTCAAGTGCAGTGGGGAAGCAGAAGCATGAACCGAACTAATCGGTGTCCAACAAGAAAGGTGAAGTCTGTTGTAGGCGCAAAGTATCGAAAGTAAAGGCCCTCTTAGACACCCCAGCTTTTCATCCTGCTAAGACTCCAAGACTCCAAGATGCTGCACAGATTTCATGTTCCAAGACTCCAGGATGCTTGAAATTGGAATCTTGAAATCAATGATAGTCATGGCTGTGTCAGGCATTGAGTGCAATGGAAGGCCTTCAGGGAAAGACCAAGGCTGGGGTACTGCCAATGATTTCTTATTTCACGGTTCAAGTGGTTGAATGTGCATGCTGTGCTGCATACTGATACAAACATACTCAAACGGATTAGTCTTCTTAGTTGGGCCTCAAGCTGCTCATGTTTTTCTGCCAAGCCAGCTCCACTTCAAACACTGAAATTGCCTCGAAGAGGAGTGTGACCCAATCACTGGAAACCAGCAAATTGTGTTGCCATAAAGAAAAAATCAGGCAGAATCTTGACATATCTTGACAGTATTTCATAGTATTTCAGGATGATGCATCACCATTCAACACTCCGAATGCTGTTTCCCCAATACAGTGCAAGATTTCGCAAATTACAGTATAGTTCAATACATACTGAAAGAAAGGCTTGACCATTTTGATCCCTTTTGCAATCCAAAAAAACAACTGAAGGGACTTAAGGAGGCTGAAGAATCTGAAGATGGTTGAAATGCACTTGGGATCAGGGATTCATTGGCAGGAGGCGGATGAAGGACCGGAGCAACGTGAACAGTCGCAGATCCTGAAGGAATTTCTGGACGGTGAGCAATTTGTTCCGGTAGAAACTGAATCCCGAGGCAGGGTGTTGTCATGAGTGGTCATGGTTATAGGGACTCTGCCAGGGCTCAGGAGCATTAAGAATTTAGAAAACTCGAGCCCTGATTACTCCTGATTGCCTTGAGGTGTGCAAGTGCATTTCGCTGAGTTGAGCCCTGTTTGTGATCAAGCAGTGCAGAGTGAAGTGTCTCGGCAGAGTTCATTGCTATAGGCTTCATGGCTTCAGGGGCTGAATGCTGCATGGGTTGCTGTGGTTTTTGAGCTTCATCGCTTTTCGCACTCAGGTGCTTCCAGGCCCCAGCAACCAAACTTCAGGTGTGACGACCGCCGCGGCACAGCCTGGGGATGGGGGAAGCCAGCTACCAGAGACTGCGGCTGTGGCTGGTGAGGCTCGGATGCTCTCACGGAATATCTCAGGCTTCAAATGGCTTCAGAAAGCACCCACCGTTGGCAGATGTTGGTGTAGATGTTGGTGTAGATGTTGGTGTAGATGTTGGTATATTACGGCAGTAGGGTTGGTGTTTCTTGTCTTTGGCAGCCTATGGCATCGGTGTTTCAGGAGGTTGTTGCGCATCCAAGAGAGCAGGGAGGAGACGAAAGAGACTCTGGCAGTGAACCCAAGTCCGAAACGGAAGATGCACTACGCCTTGAGCATTCGGGTGGCCTTCCAGAGTCCAAGGAGACTGCAAGCGCATACGAAAAAAGGATTGATTTTAATTAATGATTGGAACGCACGCTTTGTTGATATTTCTACCAAATTTCTACCATGGTTCTTGCTGTTCTTTGCCCCTGGTTTGTGCTCTTCTGTCGGGTAGTCATGGTTCTTTGCAGTTTTCTCAGGCATTCCCAGAAGAAGTGCAATGACAGCTGCAAAACTAGCCCTGTTTCTTGTTACAAGGTTTGATGTCCATTGAATTGCATTCAGGTTCACATTGTCATGTCACTTCAAAATACTTCAAATGTTGCTGCTTGTTAGCAGCTGCACATCAGACTGGACGTGTTGAGGAGCCAGCCACGTTACCAGAAACACCGCCAAGTGCAGCTGGAAGAAAGTCTGGCGTTGAGCAGAAGGCTGGAAGAGAAGGGGCAAGACATAATGATCAATAGACCTTTCGAGCGCATGCTTTTGCAGTTTGTTTTTTTGGGGAGATTTTTTTGCTTCTTTCCTAATACTTCAGATTTAAGATCGAATTTGTTCGGCAAGTAGGGTAGATGCTGCTGACTTGTTGCGCTCTCTGACGATGCAGTTTTCAAAAGGTCTCATCACGCATTTGTGAGGCTTGTGTTTGTTTTGCTGATGTTGCTCCAACCTTGCTTCAGGAGCCAAACGCAACTCCAGCAGTGCGGCAGAGTGCAGATGGAAAGCAAGTTGGAGATTCATCCACGATGGCGCAGGCAGCGAAAGACGCAAACTCACATCAGCCAGCGGATTCAAAGGAGACCGGATGCATTGAAACTGTACCAATGCAACTATACCGACTATAGCATTTCAACTTTCTTATTCCTTGATGAAGATGAACTTGTCCTATAGATGCATCTAGCATGACATGTGGAGCGACGCCTGCAAGTCAATTTTGTTTTCTTTGGATGGTTGGATGGAATATCTTAGTGCATGCTTGGCTTCTGTTGGCCAACCTTGCTTGAGTTTTTCAATGACTGGACGTGCTTCAGGAGCCAAGCACACACCCTGCCAGCCCAAGGGCAGGTGAACAGGCTTCTGGTGATCCACAGCAGGTTGCAAGTGCAGAGGCATCAAACGTGGTTCAGTCAAAAGGTCCATCGCAGTCACAGGAGATCAAGCAGCTATGGCTGGTTGAGTGAGTTTATTGTTTTTTTCTTGCATATCCAAACATGGTGAACAATGTTGAAGCATGTTGAAGCTATCTTGGTTTAGATCAGCCCATTTGGTTTGCCCCATCACAATGACAGGGTTTGATGTCCATTGAATTGCATTCAGGTTCACATTGTCATGTCACTTCAAAATACTTCAAATGTTGCTGCTTGTTAGCAGCTGCACATCAGACTGGACGTGTTGAGGAGCCAGCCACGTTACCAGAAACACCGCCAAGTGCAGCTGGAAGAAAGTCTGGCGTTGAGCAGAAGGCTGGAAGAGAAGGGGCAAGACATAATGATCAATAGACCTTTCGAGCGCATGCTTTTGCAGTTTGTTTTTTTGGGGAGATTGTTTTGCTTCTTTCCTAATACTTCAGATTTAAGATCGAATTTGTTCGGCAAGTAGGGTAGATGCTGCTGACTTGTTGCGCTCTCTGACGATGCAGTTTTCAAAAGGTCTCATCACGCATTTGTGAGGCTTGTGTTTGTTTTGCTGATGTTGCTCCAACCTTGCTTCAGGAGCCAAACGCAACTCCAGCAGTGCGGCAGAGTGCAGATGGAAAGCAAGTTGGAGATTCATCCACGATGGCGCAGGCAGCGAAAGACGCAAACTCACATCAGCCAGCGGATTCAAAGGAGACCGGATGCATTGAAACTGTACCAATGCAACTATACCGACTATAGCATTTCAACTTTCTTATTCCTTGATGAAGATGAACTTGTCCTATAGATGCATCTAGCATGACATGTGGAGCGACGCCTGCAAGTCAATTTTGTTTTCTTTGGATGGTTGGATGGAATATCTTAGTGCATGCTTGGCTTCTGTTGGCCAACCTTGCTTGAGTTTTTCAATGACTGGACGTGCTTCAGGAGCCAAGCACACACCCTGCCAGCCCAAGGGCAGGTGAACAGGCTTCTGGTGATCCACAGCAGGTTGCAAGTGCAGAGGCATCAAACGTGGTTCAGTCAAAAGGTCCATCGCAGTCACAGGAGATCAAGCAGCTATGGCTGGTTGAGTGAGTTTATTGTTTTTTTCTTGCATATCCAAACATGGTGAACAATGTTGAAGCATGTTGAAGCTATCTTGGTTTAGATCAGCCCATTTGGTTTGCCCCATCACAATGACAGGGTTTGATGTCCATTGAATTGCATTCAGGTTCACATTGTCATGTCACTTCAAAATACTTCAAATGTTGCTGCTTGTTAGCAGCTGCACATCAGACTGGACGTGTTTGAGGAGCCAGCCACGTTACCAGAAACACCGCCAAGTGCAGCTGGAAGAAAGTCTGGCGTTGAGCAGAAGGCTGGAAGAGAAGGGGCAAGACATAATGATCAATAGACCTTTCGAGCGCATGCTTTTGCAGTTTGTTTTTTTGGGGAGATTGTTTTGCTTCTTTCCTAATACTTCAGATTTAAGATCGAATTTGTTCGGCAAGTAGGGTAGATGCTGCTGACTTGTTGCGCTCTCTGACGATGCAGTTTTCAAAAGGTCTCATCACGCATTTGTGAGGCTTGTGTTTGTTTTGCTGATGTTGCTCCAACCTTGCTTCAGGAGCCAAACGCAACTCCAGCAGTGCGGCAGAGTGCAGATGGAAAGCAAGTTGGAGATTCATCCACGATGGCGCAGGCAGCGAAAGACGCAAACTCACATCAGCCAGCGGATTCAAAGGAGACCGGATGCATTGAAACTGTACCAATGCAACTATACCGACTATAGCATTTCAACTTTCTTATTCCTTGATGAAGATGAACTTGTCCTATAGATGCATCTAGCATGACATGTGGAGCGACGCCTGCAAGTCAATTTTGTTTTCTTTGGATGGTTGGATGGAATATCTTAGTGCATGCTTGGCTTCTGTTGGCCAACCTTGCTTGAGTTTTTCAATGACTGGACGTGCTTCAGGAGCCAAGCACACACCCTGCCAGCCCAAGGGCAGGTGAACAGGCTTCTGGTGATCCACAGCAGGTTGCAAGTGCAGAGGCATCAAACGTGGTTCAGTCAAAAGGTCCATCGCAGTCACAGGAGATCAAGCAGCTATGGCTGGTTGAGTGAGTTTATTGTTTTTTTCTTGCATATCCAAACATGGTGAACAATGTTGAAGCATGTTGAAGCTATCTTGGTTTAGATCAGCCCATTTGGTTTGCCCCATCACAATGACAGGGTTTGATGTCCATTGAATTGCATTCAGGTTCACATTGTCATGTCACTTCAAAATACTTCAAATGTTGCTGCTTGTTAGCAGCTGCACATCAGACTGGACGTGTTTGAGGAGCCAGCCACGTTACCAGAAACACCGCCAAGTGCAGCTGGAAGAAAGTCTGGCGTTGAGCAGAAGGCTGGAAGAGAAGGGGCAAGACATGAGGATCAATTGACTTTTCGAGCGCATGCTTTTGCAGTTTGTTTTTTTGGGGAGATTGTTTTGCTTCTTTCCTAATACTTCAGATTTAAGATCGAATTTGTTCGGCAAGTAGGGTAGATGCAGCTGACTTGTTGCGCTCTCTGACGATGCAGTTTTCAAAAGGTCTCATCACGCATTTGTGAGGCTTGTGTTTGTTTTGCTGATGTTGCTCCAACCTTGCTTCAGGAGCCAAACGCAACTCCAGCAGTGCGGCAGAGTGCAGATGGAAAGCAAGTTGGAGATTCATCCACGATGGCGCAGGCAGCGAAAGACGCAAACTCACATCAGCCAGCGGATTCAAAGGAGACCGGATGCATTGAAACTGTACCAATGCAACTATACCGACTATAGCATTTCAACTTTCTTATTCCTTGATGAAGATGAACTTGTCCTATAGATGCATCTAGCATGACATGTGGAGCGACGCCTGCAAGTCAATTTTGTTTTCTTTGGATGGTTGGATGGAATATCTTAGTGCATGCTTGGCTTCTGTTGGCCAACCTTGCTTGAGTTTTTCAATGACTGGACGTGCTTCAGGAGCCAAGCACACACCCTGCCAGCCCAAGGGCAGGTGAACAGGCTTCTGGTGATCCACAGCAGGTTGCAAGTGCAGAGGCATCAAACGTGGTTCAGTCAAAAGGTCCATCGCAGTCACAGGAGATCAAGCAGCTATGGCTGGTTGAGTGAGTTTATTGTTTTTTCTTGCATATCCAAACATGGTGAACAATGTTGAAGCATGTTGAAGCTATCTTGGTTTAGATCAGCCCATTTGGTTTGCCCCATCACAATGACAGGGTTTGATGTCCATTGAATTGCATTCAGGTTCACATTGTCATGTCACTTCAAAATACTTCAAATGTTGCTGCTTGTTAGCAGCTGCACATCAGACTGGACGTGTTTGAGGAGCCAGCCACGTTACCAGAAACACCGCCAAGTGCAGCTGGAAGAAAGTCTGGCGTTGAGCAGAAGGCTGGAAGAGAAGGGGCAAGACATAAGGATCAATAGACCTTTCGAGCGCATGCTTTTGCAGTTTGTTTTTCCCCACATCTTTTTGTGGGGTTCATGTTTTTGATTCTGTATCCCGCCTCCGCCTCCTCCTCCTCCTCCGTCTCCTCCTCCGCCGCCTCCGCCTCCATCTCACTCACACAACTTTGTCACACACCATATTTCACACACCTTCTCACTCACACAACTTTGTCACACACCATCTTTCACACACCATCTCACTCACACAACTTTGTCACACACCATCTCTCTCAACTTTCTTACATACAACTTTGTCAGACACACACACACACAACTTTGTCACACATCATCTTTCACACACATTTGGTTGAGTGTTGACGCCGTGACATTTTGCGTGGCAGGCGTGGCACTTGGTGACATCCACCTTCGTTTTGCCTGGCAGGCGTGGCACTTGGCGACATCAGCCTTGGTTTTGCGTGGCAGGCGTGGCACTTGGGGCAATGTGTGAAGAACCGTTTGATGCCGTGAAAAAATGCTTGTGTGTTTCTGAATATGGTACAACAAATGGTTTGACACAATGTGTAAAGAATCATGCGTCGCCGTAAAAAATATTTTCGCCAGCAAGGAGCGCGCAGTAGCTTCGGCCGTGCGATGTTGTCAAGTCTTTTCTGTTTGGAGATAATGTTGTTTACACCCTTTAGAGCATGGGTTGATGCAACGTGCGACGTTTCATTTCTATTGTCATGCTAAGATTTTTGGTGACATTGGGGACTTGCAATGCTTGTGACATTCCCGTGTGACACACTTGCGTGCGGATATTGCTGTAGAGCCGATTGCATCGCATACAACTTGTTTTACTTCTCGCTCCTCCACCACTTCCTTTGTCTTTCCTTCCTGCCCCGTCCCCGCTACAACATTTGTTGCTCATGATTGGAAGAAGTTGACTTGTGGGGTTATCCGGTCCTTTAATTCTTTGGAAATTGTTTGCCTTCTTTCCTCAATACTTCAGATTTAAGATCGAATTTGTTCGGCAAGTAGGGTAGATGCAGCTGACTTGTTGCGCTCTCTGACGATGCAGTTTTCAAAAGGTCTCATCACGCATTTGTGAGGCTTGTGTTTGTTTTGCTGATGTTGCTCCAACCTTGCTTCAGGAGCCAAACGCAACTCCAGCAGTGCGGCATGGCTTGGAAGCTGAGGATCCCAACGAGACGGAGGATCCCAACTCAGTCTCCCCAGCGCAATTCAAGGCTCGCCCGCGTCGTGTTGATCGCAATAGTTTCACAGAATTGCCGATTTGCCAAGGCCAGATTTCTGTTGTCTGTCTATTTCCCATGAAACTGATTGTTCGCTTACGCTTTGAAACATATTTATTTCTGACTTGTCAGGAGTCGCGCAATCTGCAAGAGTTGGTTGAGGAATTGAAGGCGCTTGATTCCTGATTTCAGTCTAGTTTGACAAGGCTAGTTCAACCGGGACACGATGTTTGTAGTACGAGGTAATTTGAGATAAGACACTTGTTTTTTTTGAGTCTAAGTTCCCGGGCAGTTCCGGGCATATCATACTTAGATGTTGCAGAGGTGTTTCCTTTAATAAGTGTGTGTGTTTTCTTCGGTCAGTTCCCTTTGCCCTATCCACCTTTGGGTTCTCCATGATGGCCTTGCACCAGTGCCAGGCAACTTTGGCAGCCAAGAATCAATTGATCGATCAGCTGAGTGGAGTCAAGGCAACTTGCCGTTTTTGAAACGGTAAAACATCTCACAAATTCTCACAATATTTGCATCTATGTAGGCAACCTATATAATGTAAATGTGATGTGATCTGATTTGATGTAATGCAATGTAATGTACACAATGTTTAATATTATGTGCATGCAATGAAAACGCATCATTTTCTATATGCAATGAACACACATATAAAACATTGCGTCCATGCGTAAAGAATGGCCATGTATTTTGGATACGTAGGTAGATTGATAGATAGGATAGGATACGACAGGATAGGATAGGATAGGATAGATAGATAGATAGAGGTTAGAATATTTTGGCAAATAGTATCATAGACCCGCAGTGCCTATATCATTTTATCTAGTAAGGCACATTTGGCCACCCATGTGATTTTCTAAACTGGATAAATTGACAACTGGAGCATCCGCCTGATCAGGTGCCAGGATTGTCACCATCGTACCACTCGCCTGTTTGTGCAGCAGTTCCAACCTCGAAAAATATGCTGCAGAATATTCCTGCAATTGTTTTTCTCACATTCCTTTGGAGTCAGGAGGCGAAGCTCTTCCGAGCTTCCAGGCACCAAACACACCATTCCATGCAAAAACAAGAGAAACTGAGAGACCATGTTTCCTGCTTGTTTACAAACATGTGTGTTAGCAGACGTTTTAGTGAACACAGGTCGAGAGGGCCTTCCTCCGGCAGCGTCATCACAGGTGCCATTTCTGCTTAACAGAAGGGTGTATCCGGTGTATGTTTGTACAGATTCTGCGGGATGTAGTCTAGATGTTTTGCGTCAGTTTATGGATGTTCAAAGGTGTTTAATATGTGTTTAATATGTTGGATGAGTTGAAAAGGTTTGGGAAGATGCTCTGCCTTGGAAACGCCTAGCGTTGCACAGTTTCGCTCTGAAGTCACTGTGCCAAGGTGGGACCGCAGCTTGGCAGATGTTGAGGGGGACACTGAAGACATTCTGATCAAAAAAACGCGGTCAAAAACCTTTGAAACACAATGAAACACAAGAAGATCAAAGTAACATCCTCTATACACCTGTAAATATCCTCTATAAATCTCTATAACTCTCTATAAATCTCTATAAATCTCTATCTAAAGAATCCTTGTCCTGACGAAACGTAGATCTTTATCGGGTCTTCGGTCTTCGCATGTTTTCGTTTTGATCCGTGGCGTCACCTGGGAATCCAAGGAGCGACATGAACGATGCTGCGAGCTAAGTCGGGCAGACAATCAGTGGCACAATCAGATAGTAAAACAACATTAACATTTCAAAACAAGAATCAAAACAAGAATCTATATAATGTTGTTTATTATGTTAAATGTTGGTAAACAATAATAAACCATCCCCAATTGCACCATACATAGGTCACAGGTGGTATAAACCATTCCCAAAGGGGTGGTTTATCATTGTGTTTCTCACTTTAACATGTTTACAGTATACAACATTTACATGATACAACATTGACATTGCCAACGGCATGGGCTCTCTGGATGAAATGGCGACACGTGCCCTCGCCAGTTCTTGTCACTTTGCATTCAGTCCACTCAGACTTTTGTCAGGTCTCAGAAAACTTCGTCAATGCTATTGCCGCTCACCTGCTTTGGCATTTCTTATGGCGCAGACAAATTCATCAAGTTCCCTGCGTTTTGTTTTGCTGTCGTTCTGTATCATGTTGACTTGTTCTTTGCGCTTGCAACTCTTGCTTTTGTTGCTTAGCGTCCGACAGGCAGATTGCCATCAGCGGGTTCGCCGGAAATCTCAAGTCCTTGCACAGTCGGTGTTAAGCAACTTGCAGAACAAGGAGCTGTGCCCCAAGGCTAAGCTGACTATGATCAAATATGATCAATGCTGTTGACACATTTATAAATTCATGTCATGTGATGTCCAAATGTGTGATTTGTTTCTGATGTCCAAGATGTCCAAGCTCCCAGGAGCCAAAAGACGCTGAAACAGGTGCAACGACTGCAACGGCAGGTGGTACCACAAGACCCCCAAGGTCCGGCATCCGATTGATGCGATTCACTGTTGCGAAGTTCGTTCGAAACGAAACTGTCTCAAAATCCTTCACGGTTTTCCTGGGAAGATGCCAGGAATACGTTACCTGGAAGGCTTCTTGGAATCTTGGCCCAAGCCTTAGACATCCTCAGATCCTCAGACTTCTTTTCAGATGTCATGACACATCGGCAGCTCATGGATGCACTCCTTCAGTGTCAGGGTCAGCCTAAGCCTCCTCCAAAGCGCCGGCGTAAACGACGTGCACGTGCTTCTGTGAAGATTCTGGCCCACCAGGCGCGTTTTTTCGGATCGCTGAGCGATGAACACTGGGAATTTCTGGGATCAGATCACGGCATCACGGCATATCACGGCTGAATTTTGTGGCTTCGTAGGCCAGCGACCTAGCAGCAGACTTAAGTGGGGGACTCTGCATTCTGAACTCAAGCTGTCCATGTCGACACTTTCCGTTGCAACATGCGATTCATTTTGACATACTTTGACTATCTTTGACTATATTTCCTTCAAAGCGGTGCTTCAGTATGACGATTCTTGAAACTTTGTCCAGTGACCTTGGCTCTTTTTGGTCTTTGCCCAGGCTCAGTGACAAATTCCGGCGCAGACGCTGACGCTTCCGATAGCGAAGAAAGCCCTTCATCATCAGACAGTGACGATAAAGAGGTCAGTGTCTCAGTGTCTCAAGAAGTGGTTCATTGCCTGTGAGACCCGCACTCAACTGGAGGTTCGGACAGAAGACTTAATAATTATTTTATAATAATTTCTTGTCCTCTTCCTAGAACTATAGAAAACCTTACAGCATTATCACTTTTCCCACAAACTTCCCCCCCGGACGCCGTCTCTGGAGACCCTGATATTTTTTGGGGGCTTGCTTTGCCGTTTCCAATCCGAGCTCAAACAGTATTGATCTTTAGTATCTTTAGTCGTACGCTTGCATTAAGACGGAAGGTTGAAGGAATCACTGGCTATAAGGCCAGGTAGAGCACATGTCAGTTTTTAAAAACTAGTATTGCTGAAGACTGTTCAGCACCTCCAGTCAAATTGATTCTCCCCTAAACCAGACTGGTCACTGTCAGCCAAAGCTTTGTGCTGATACACTCCAACACTCTGAGGTGACTCTTGAACACAAACTCGTCATGACCGTGCTGTCCTGGAAGGACTGAACTACCGAATCCGGACACGAAAACTTGCACAACTGCACATAATTGCCAGCAGAATTGGCCCAAAGTTGTAGAAGCACACTTTGCCCCATTTGCCCAGCATCTCAAGGACTTGCCAAAGCAAATCCTGCAATGGCTGAAATCAAATCTGCGACGGTCTGGACCTCGTTGAATAAAGCACAACTTGTAGCATAGCTATAGATGCTATAGGGTGTCATAGGTGAGCTGGAAACTTGGAACATCAAACTGCTGTTTCAATTGGAGAACCAAATGTATTTTAGAGAGTATTTTTTTGGACATTGTCCGCTTGTGTCGGCTCATGTATTTGGCTTTTGGAATCTCTTAAAGTTCCTGCGAGAAACAAGGAGTGAAGAAGCTCACGCACACAGTGATATTCTCAGGAAAGGATCGAAAGAACCACAACAAAAATGGTTTGCATGATGCAATTAGCTTCAGCAGGTTGCGGCCAGCAACGCTATTGAACATCGGCAGCCATTAGATAACACGGTGGCAATGGCACTTCTCAGGTGTTCCGTGGGAACCTACTTCCTTAGATACCTGGCCAGAGCTTAGCCAACGCAACAGGCGCTTAAAAACTGCTGCACCCTGCAGATATCCTTGGTGACCCATTCAAAGAAACTATACAAAAAAATTCACCAGAATCTGATGCAACCACCTGAAACAGATTGGCATAGGCTACATTGCTACATGCATATGCTATGCATAAGATAGCGTAAGATCTCGTGGAAGGCAGGATCCCAACAGGTCCATTCCCAATTCCATTTCCACATTCCACCAGGCTTCAGATGGCCTTTGGCTCAGAAAAGACCAGAAAATTGAAACGGTGAACGGGGATATGTAGGAAGGAACGTAGGCGAGAGCATGCGAGAGCACAAAAATCATATAAACTTTGACGTTGAAACAACGCAATCGCAATTGATAGGGTGACTACAGTGACAACTAACTGTTCTGAATGTCACCAACACGGATGAAGGGTGTATTCGGACAACTTGGAAAGTAAGAGGAAGGCAAAAATTCTGCATGCCACAGGTTCTCATTTCACCCTGAGGTGGAGGAATTTGAAGATTTCTTGGATCAGTTGGGCCGGTTCAGGCCATGGGACTTTGGAGCCCATTGATTTTCACATCGGGTTTTCTCTGCCCTGACCACGTGACTTGCGTGAATTGATGTGAATTGTGTCGGGGCAAATCGGCAAATCACCCAAAATTCTGTGATTTGCCAAAGCTGCCAGACCTTCAAGATATGAGTCAAAGACCAAGCTCAGGCGATGCCGTGTTTGCCTGTGCGATGCTAGCAATGTCGTATTCATGTTCAATACATGTTCAATATGTTGTGCAATTCTTACGCACTGCTCAGCAAGTGACCACATCTTTGTTTCCTTTTTTGGCGTTCGGGTTCTGAGTCGTATTTCACTTTGTCCAAAGCTTGGAAACATCTGACTTAATTGTGATTTAGTTTAAATACAGACAGGAATAGTTGGGAGGAAACTCAAGCACTCGGAAGTCTCAAGAGACACTGGAAAGCTAACATGCCAAAATGTAAAGAATAATGTTTTGCCTTGTTGATAAGTTGGTATGCCTATTTGGCAGATTTTCATCCAGTTGGTCATGTCATTTTTATCAATCTGTCGCTGTTAGGGAGCGCCTCAATCATAGTGAACCTCCAAAATCACGGAGGCGCGAGCTGCAACTTTTTCATGTTTTGGATGCATCGCCGAAAGCCGGTAAATTTGTCCAACTCAAGGCATATTTGTCATGTGCAGTTTTATTTTCTTGAATTGACGGATCTTGAAGGAGCCTTTTCCTCCTGGATCTCTGGAAATGTCTTGATGTTTTTTTTTCCCCGCTCTGCGTACGTGAACATCAGGCGCAGCCGGTCTCAAGGACAGGGTTGAGATTTGAAAACACAACAGCAATCCTAGCGCCGAGAGATCTACAGAATCGACAATTCCTTTCATTTGGGGGAGATCTATGTACAAGAACTTGTACAAGTCTTTGCCGACTATTGCAGAGACGCAAAGACTCAAAGTTTTTGAGGGCCCTTGAAGTCTCGGTTCCCATGGTATTGGAATGCGGACGGAATGCCCAAGGGAGTTTGTGGAAAGATTCACGTGGGTGACTGAATGTAGTTTTGAGATGTGGGTTCTTCTCCAGGACAGATACATCCATTCTATGAGTTCCCCCTGGATGTGCCTCTGCTGAATGTTTGTGGAATCGGGTATCAAATTAGACTGGAGTCAGTTGACCTGAAACTGAACTGTCAGATCTTGCTTCACTCTTTGTGTTTTTTTGCAATGAGTTCACCAAGTGGCCAAATCTGAGCTTCGGATGTGAAACGGTTTTATTGGAAACTGCAGGTGGAACCAGCGTGCCACCCTCAGACTCAGAGACTCAGAGCAGCGTCATTCACCGATATTCGTGCACAGGGATCAGATTGCTTTCAACAAGTCGAACCTTAGACAAAGGGTCAGTGGTTTGGACTTGACTGTGCCACTTTGATGTTGTTTGATTGGTGCGATTGCTTCAATGGAATCTCGCTGACAGTAGATTGAATGCTATGAGGAAGCATCTTGCGTTCGTCTTTTTTTGGTCCTTATGGAAACAGAGAGAAGCACCAGCCATTCTGAACAGCTTCCAGTACATCCGAGATCACCAAAGTGAGTACAGTATGCAAAGTAGTATGTGTGTGCATTTGCACAAATGAACTTTGTATGCATTCTTGAGGCAAGTCTCTGCACGACTTCGGGAAGCATTGCCGCTCAAGCGCAGCAGAGCCGGAGGGAAGGACACTTTTAGCCAAGCAGTGCCTTGCCGAGACATGTCGACTTTGTCCATGACCGCAGCTGTTTGGCCATGGCAGTGTTGAACCGCTGTATTTGAATCAGAATGTCAAGTCGTTGTCAAGCCAAACATGTCAGAATGATCTTTGAAAATCATCACGAATCGAACATAATCACATATATAATATCACATAATCCAACCCTGCAGCTTCCATCGCTGACATGACCACTGAAATCTTCGCCAGGATGACAGCCCTGGTCCAGACTCATGCCAGAGACACAGATTCGAAAGCGGAAAAGGTATATAATTATGCAGGCGAAGATGATGATGATGATGATGATGATGATGATGATGATGATGATGATGATGATGATCGATGATCGATGATCGATGATCGATGATGATCGATGATGATGATGATGATGATGATGATGATGATCAATGATGATGATGATGATGATGATGATGATGATGATGATGAATGATGATGAATGGTGATGATGGTGATGATGATGATGGTGATGATGATGGTGATGATGTTGATGATGATGATGATGTTGATGATGATGTTGATGATGATGATGATGATGTTGATGATGATGATGTTGATGATGATGATGATGGTGATGATCAATGATGATGATGATGATGACGATGATGATGATGATGTTGATGATGATGATGATGACGACGTTGGCGATGACGATGACGTCTCATTGGGCCATTGGGTGCAATGAAGGTGGTATGTAAGCGGCCTGCTGGGGAAACCAGCGAGAAAGGCACTGAAATGCTTTCAGCCCTGCACACACCCGTCTGAAATGCGAGCATGCAGCAAACAACTGTCTAGGTTACAGAGATTTTAGAGATTCTTATGAGATTCTTTTTTATCTGCTATGTTTTAAAGTGACTCTGAACGAGCGAGAGTATTTATCTATTGTTTGGTTGATCGCCAATATGGCATCCTATGCCCGAATTGTTGAACGCCGCGATAAAGTCATGTTTCATCAGAATTGGCCTTTGTTAAACACAGCTTCAAGTTGTTCGTCTCACTCTGTATTTCTTGGATAGTCAGTGTTTTATATCGTTGTGAATGTTGATTTCTTTTGAGGCTCTGGCTTGGACTTGACGGTCATGGGCAGAAGTCATGCCCAGTCGCCAAGATCGTCTCGGTCTCCGAAATCGTCTCGGTCGCCGGTGTCCCGATCTCCAGAGTTTGGTCCTTACAGAGGGGTTACAGAGGTGAGTGGAATCTGCTGGAACACGTCCTGGGTCATTTGGGAACTGCCGAAATGCAATTGGAAAGAAACAATTTGGCTGTCAATCCATTGGTTTCCAGATGTTTCTTTCCATGTATCATGTTTCGTCCTTTTGGTTCCCTTGGCTCTTCGAGGCGACGAGAGCACCACGGCAGAGCTGTCGGGCTGGTGCCTGACTCGGTTTCACATTTGACATGTCAGCACCCAGGTGGATTGAGCTGGAAAGGGTTTGTGTAGCATTGAAAATTCTAAGGCAAATCGCGTCAAATTGAGCCATGTGCACCTTGAATACTAAGGCGTCTGTCCTTGCAAATATCTTGGCACAGTCAACCAGGCTCTGCATAGAAGTGTCTAAGACGGCGGACCGGCTCACATGAAATCAAGCTACATCAGCTGTTTGACCCTGTTTGTCTTTCATCTTGATGTCTCGGAATAGAGCTAACACACTCCGGATCAAAGAATTTTGAACAGACGGACTGTGCCACCATGACGCTGGCTGACCAAAGTCTCTCTCTATATATAGATCTTCATCTTTTGTCAAACATCCAGGCGCATTAACACTTGGTTCTGATGCAGGTCTCACCATGTTTTCATGTCCCAAAGATTTGGATTGTCTCCCTGTTTTTTTCGTCTCCTGGATTCCTCCTTGTGTCTCCTTCATGTCTCCTTCATGTCTCGTGTGTCTAGGCGCCAGAAGCGCTGGGCACTGCGGCGCTGGACCCATGTGACGACGGATCGGGCCGCTGCCCAAGGTGCCACTGGGCGCCACTGGGCGACGTCGGAAACATAAGTGATTGAAGATAATTGAAGCAATGACATTCAAATTTGATTTTAATTAAACTAACTTGATGATGCTTTGAAACTATTTTCGGCACACCTTTAATTCTTTAATCTCCGCAATGTATCAAACGGGATCACTGTCCAACGATGTCAAACGTTGATTCCTGCACAATTATTGTATACCACCGCCACCTATAGAGAGTATGTTGCACAACATGAAGCTTGATACGAGGTTCGGTGAAGAAAAATGTGGGGCATGCTGGTTTTGGGAACTGATTAAAGAAGGCTGTTTGTCACTGCTCTAATTAATCCAAACAGATGGCCAGAATGGATAGGGAGCACTGAGAAGACTTCGAGCCTCTATTCATCAAACCCAATTTGTTGTGGACGGCACATTTGTTCTCCCTCCAAATCATCCGTGGCAATTGCAGCAAGTTCGGCATGACAGGGTGATGGTAGGAGAATGATGCCAAGCGGCACCAAAATGCGTGCAGGTCGAGCAGAACAACTGGATTGGACCAGTGACCCAGACACAGGACGTGACGACAGATGGCGAGGCCGTTTCAAGGGCAGAGAAACCTGTCACTTTGCAGGTGTCTGAATGTTGCAGTTCCCGTCCAGCCTTGCACAGCAACAATGAGATAGAAAGGAGCCATTAACATCCATTAACATCCATTAACATCCATTAACATCCATTAACATCCATTAACATCCATTAACCATGTTTCTCAGTTTGTAATGGTCATCACATGACACGTGACACTTTGAACCCAGGGCGTCGGGCAGAACGAGACGGACGTGCTCGTCGCCGTCGTGAAGATCTGCGGGACGTGGAATTTTCCTCGTCGCGGGAGCCGCGCTACGACAGCCACGCCCGCCGCGACCACCGCGACCACCGCGACCCCCGCGACTTCGAAGGCTCCTGGTGGAGCGTGCCACGGGATCCGCGAGATCAGCGAGATCCACGGAGCGTGCCACGGCCACGGCCACCCGGAGCTTCCGGTGTTCCAGCGCCACCCTCGTGGTCGCTGGAGCGGGAACCGCGCGAACCACGAGAACCACGAGAACCACGACCAGCCAGGACAGTGTTGCGGAACAACATCACTAAAAGTAGTCCAAAATTAAATGAGAAGAATATACGTCGGAGAGGGGCAGAGACCATTCAATGATGATGCATGAGAATGCCATGGGGCAACATAGTGGGAAAATGTGGGAAAGAGGATGCAGATACTTATCACTTATCTTAAGTCTTACTATATATGTCATTTATAAACCTGTGCCCAAAGTAAGGCCCCACAGACAAAAGCAGCACCGCATCGGAAGGATCTATCAACGACCACGACTGGAAGATCTCAAGAGGCCAGGCCAAAGGTGATTGCAATTCGGTTGCCTGAAAAACATGGAAAGAAATGAAATGGAAGGTTTGTTCAAAAGAATCTTCAATGTCTTCTATGGCGGGAACGATTTTGCAAGTCGGTGTTTGGAAGCGACAGGCCACGCTGGCAGGCTCAAGACGACCGACCCTGTTGTTAACTGTTAGACTTTGTAATCTTTGATCAGCTTAACTGTCCTCTTGCAATACAGACAGTATTCTCTCTCATAAATCTCTCTGGTCCTGGCTTGGGGAAGAAAAGTGCATGCTTCCTGTCATCTCTTGCCAGTTTTACACAATGGAGTCAAGATGTTTACGAGCTACCACTTGATCAAAAGTTCTTTGATTTCCACAGTCAAATTCGTACTCTGATGAATCTCTGATGTGTCATTTCTGTCCAGGCAGCTTCCCGCTTTGAAGATTATGTTGGTTGTGTCTCATGGAATTACAAGGTACGGATGTGGAGTTCATGAACCGGTGGTGAGAAGATGTGAGAAGTAGATGTTATGGTGTGACGCATTGCTTTCGGTGAAGAGAGCTTTTGTTTTGGAGAGTACAAAACCGCACAGCGGTCGAATTGTAATTGCTATGGGTTAAGAAGGGGAAATAAGGAAGGCAGATAGTATTGGCAGATTATCTTTTCTTTGCACTGCTTATCTCTGCGTTCAACATTGGCGCGATTGTTTTCAAGTTGAGCTCGTTCAAGACTGCATGGAAGTCTTTGGCAGGAGCCCCGTGTTCCGCTAGCACTCCAAAGTCACATTCAAAAGTCCCCGGAGGCGTGGAAGAACTTAGAAATGAACCATGCAGGACAACAACAACAACAACACCAACACCAACACCAACAACACCAACAACACCAACAACACCACCACCACCACCACCAACAACAACAACAACAGCAACAGCAACAGCGACAGCGACAGCGACAGCAACAGCAACAGCAACACCAACAACAACAACAACAACAACAACAACAACAACAGCAGCAACAACAGCAACAGCAACAGCAACAGCAACAACAACATAATGCATAATGCATAATGCATAATGCATAGCCTCAGGCCTCAGATCGTGCAGATTTGGATGTTTGGAGCAAGTGTGGAAAGAGGATCAAATCCACTGAAATCTCAGAGACAGAACAGGGACAGATGGGACAGGATCAATCCACTCTGGGAAAGGCTTTTGATCTGTGAGGCCCGAGCTGAAGAGTGGAGTCGAGTTCTGCAGAATCGTTTCAAGCCCGCCACTCAAACAGCTTGAAAGAAGATGAAATCAAGATGCAGTCCAGGACGCAACTTAAATAACGCATAGAAGCATGCCATGGAAACATCCCATGAAAAGCGCTCGGTTGCTTCTTCGCCTTTCCTCTTCGCCAATTCGCCTCCATCTCTCTCTCTCTCTCTCTCCCTCTCTTTCATTGGGTTTCCAGTATGTTGTCACCACATTTTCAGATCATATTTTGCAGTGTTTCTCTTTTTGTCTCAAGTGACATTTTGAAATCCCAGAAATGCGTCAGTCATTTCAATGTCATGTTATGAACAGCCAAGGTTGTCAGACCTTCGAGAGGTGCCAGCAGAAAGCACCAATTTTGGAACTTGATGAAAGGATTCAGAAATTTACAAAACAGTTAAGTTATGTATCGTTAAGGTTAAGACGCTGCTTCCCTACTGTTGAATTTGTTGAATCATAAACATGCTAACCGTTCTTGTGCCACTAGAGGCTGGTCCAATCCGATGCAATAGTTCTGACATGTTCTGAATACAGCTGAATACAAGAGGCAGAACTGTAATCTTTCATGCACTTCCATGTCCTTCTCCTCAGAGGCTTTGTGTCTTCCAGCTGGTTATCACTTCCCTTGCCAGATTTGTTTCTTCAGTCAGTAAAGGAACATCCTTTTCGCAATACTTGGTTTATTTTCATCCTTCAATCATCAACCCTTTGTCCTCTGATGTCACTTTGTTTCCTCTTCAGGTCTTTGAAATCACTACGGGGGATCATAGAGCAAAGATGAGCAAAGTATTTGATCGTGGGCAGCTTATCCCCAATCCGTGTCTCCAGCAAAGAGATATCACCGACCTGCGCCAGCAGGCCAATTCTCTCCGAAGCACCACAGGCCATTTCTTGAGCTCCAAAGTTCCAACTTACGGGGTGTGCACAGGTTGCCTGTGCCATTTGGTGTGCCATGCACCAAATTCCTGGCACAGTATCGTTTTGTTGTTCTGGAGCGACACACCGTGCCATTGATTTGCCCATGCTCAGCTGGCCAATCTCACAGTTATGCGTAGTGATCTCTTCAGTGATGGGGGAGAATCAAAGTAGCAGGTTTGAATGGCAGGGGGTGATATAGACTGGACTTGCGTCCAATGTAAGATCGTTCAAGATGGTGGGACAAAGAAAATGAAAGGAAAGCGTCACCTAATAACTTTATTTCTGGGGACCTGCACAGGGTCTCAAATTCTAGAGCCGCTCTTGAATCATGGACAAAGCGACAGAATGTGACAGATAAAATGATGCAGTGTGATGCTGTATATGTTTCAGATTCTGTCACATTCATCACACAAGACCACCGATCATTGCAGATTTGTGTCAAGGGATGCAGTGGTTTTTCCCGAATGCGTAGCAAGGGCCGGTTTCCCGTTTCACTCTTGGGGGTCTGGGGGCTGAGGGTGTGTTCGCAACCGTTCGCAACCGTCCGCAACCGTTCGCAACCGTTCGTGTGAGGACCGTATGGCCGCGCCTATGGTAAGTTCTGCAGGAGGTGTCATTTTTGGAGGTTTCCAACGTTTCGTTGCTTCGTTTCGCGTGGCAGGCGTGGCACTTTGTGACATTCAGACGTGTTCTGTAACGTGTCGAAAGTCGTTTTGTGTGGCAGGCGCAATACTTTTGCGACGTTTTCAGAAGATGCGTGGCAGTTTTCGTGGCAGGCGCAGCACTTTGGACGGGTCCATCGTCATTTTGCGTGGCAGGCGCAGTACTTTAGACGTGTCGTGTCGAGTGTTTTTTTGCAAATCGCATTGGCAGGGCTGCGTCAAGTGGCGACAAGGTGCAAATTCCGTGGCAGGCGTGGCATTTTGTGAGATGTACTGAAAATTGACGGAAGCCTCGCACGAAATATCGATTTTGAGGTAGCAGATTTAGAGGTTCCTAAGAAAACTCGTAGGAAAACGTCGGTTTTGAAGCTACAAAGTGTCAAAATTGGAAGAAGTCTGGCGCGAAATGCTCGTTTTGGTGCTCCCACCTGTCTCGTCTCGCGTCATTGGTTTTCTGTTGTCTTCGCCGTGTCTATGGGGGAAGCTGCAAAACATGTCCTTCCGGCATGTTTCAAACTGTGAAAAGTGGAGGAAGTCTCGCATGAAATGCTGGTTTTGATGTTCCTACGTGTCTCGTCCCGAGTCTCTGGTTTTCCTGTGGCGTCGCCGTGTCTATGGGGGAAGCTGCAAAACGTCTGCTTTTCGAAGATTTCCAAGCAGGTTGTCATGTCGTTTTGCTTGGCAGGCAAGGCACTTTGTGACATTCCAACCTGTTTGATAACATCTCGAAAATATCAAAATTGGAGGAAGTCTCGCACGAAATGCTCGTTCTTTTGCACCCACGTGTCTCGTCCCGAGTCTCTGGTTTTCCTGTGGCGTCGCTGTGGCTATGGGGGAAGCTCCGCACTCCACACTCTACACTTTACACTCTACGCTCCACACTCTACACTTTACACTCCACACTCCACACTCTACACTTTACACTCCACACTCCACACTTTACACTACACTTTCCACTCCTCACTCCTCACTCCACACTTTCCACTCCTCACTGCACACTTTACACACTCTACACTTTACACTCCACACTCCACACTTTACACTCCACACTGCAGACTGGTACAGTAACAAGGGAAACATGCACAAGACTGTTCAAATAAACTACTGCAGAAAGGTATTGTGCGTGACTGCATACGTGTGAGCATTCGGGTTCGTGGGCTGCATCTTGTTTCAAATGTCTTTGACGGATTGGCGTAGTGATCTCTTGCAGTGATGGGGGAGAATCAAAGTAGCAGGTTTGAATGGCAGGGGGTGATATAGACTGGACTTGCGTCCAGTGTAAGATCGTTCAAGATGGGGGGACAAAGAAAATGAAAGGAAAGCGTCACCTAATAACTTTATTTTTGGGGACCTGCACAGGGTCTCAAATTCTAGAGCCGCTCTTGAATCATGGACAAAGCGACAGAATGTGACAGATAAAATGATGCAGTGTGATGCTGTATATGTTTCAGATTCTGTCACATTCATCACACAAGACCACCAATCATTGCAGATTTGTGTCAAGGGATGCGCGCGAGGCTTGCTGAAGCCTGTCATCCCTTTACCAAGTTTGATCTCGGCGAGGAGCCGCTTCAGAAAGTTGAGGAATGACATGACGACATGACGAGTCAAGGAAATTTCTATGAAGTTATAGCTGTTATGAGGAGCCTCCATGTAGAATTTCTAGGTGACACGGTGATGTTGAAGATGGCTGGGATCAATGGCGTTAGAAACTTCCAGAAAAACTGACAACACAAACCCCGACAAAACGCACCAGGAGTAAGTAATTACACTTTAGAATCCTAGAAATGCAGAGTAGAATACAGGCCAATGTGGACATGCAAAGGTGTACATTGCGAGAACAGACCTTGCAGACTTGTAGTTTGAAAGGACTGGAGTTGTCTTTCTAGGGGTCCCCTGCTGTTCCCTGCTTCCAACTTCTGTTATTTTCAAAGGAGATGCAATTCCTATGTTCTGAGCCAGGAGAATCAATCCCCACGATGCTATGTGACAAGGCGCAGCCATGCCTACAATAGGATTGGTCTTTGTTTTTTGCACTAATGTGCATCTCAAAGGCCGAGGAACAAGAACCATTTCATAGCCTTTGCCATAGCCTTTGCTAGGGCATTCTATAATTTCTATGGTTTGTTTTTAAGTATGAGTCTGTGCAGAGCTTAAATTTTTGGCTCTGCCATGCTCTGCCAATTTTCAGATGTAAAACGCATCAACTTTTGGCTTTCGAAAGAAGGCTGTCCATGTCCGGCCTTCCACAAGGATTGGCCGTGAGAGCTCCGTTGAGTTCCCAATGCTGAAAGGTCTTGTTATGTCTTGTTTTGCCCATCACATCGTCTGAGTTGTCCAGATCCCTGCTTTCCAATGTTAATGATATAGTGCTGTTCTACAACATCATTTGGTGGAGGTATCAGCTGTACTCCATTTGAACCGCCTTGTGGACATTTCTTGAAGCCTTTCTCATCCGTTCTCGCATTTTCCTACAAGCCCGCACAGTTGGGACTGGGGGCAAGAGCAAAAGCATCAAAGCTTCCGGACCAGTTCACGCCAAAACTCACCAAGGATTTAGATGGATCGATTTAGATGGATTGCACTACGCATTGAGCAAAAACAAATCCAGCAGATATTTGTCGAACTTAGCATAGTTGAGCACTCAAATATCTCAAATGCGCTACCACAGAGTCACTGTTCAAACTTGGCACCCGAATCAACGCAGCAAAATCTGGCGGGTTCTTTTTCGCAATGGCAGCAATGGGCCTACGATTCTGAGGTCCGTGTTAACATCAGACATACTTCGTGTTTGCTCCTGGTCATCAATTCCTTCAGAATCTAGAACTACAGTGATCTAGAAAGAATGAGGGGCAGCTTTGTGTCAAAAAATGTCTGCACTGCTTAAAATCGCAAAGTGGTATTCCCACATTGGTTCTATTGATTTGTGGGAGTGGTCACCAGGGTATACCATATGGTATACTGTTCTGGGCCAGCTGATGACCACTAACGATTGAGCCCTGTCAGCGATGTTCGATGATGTTTGGCTTTGGCCAGGGAATAATGCCTCGGAGCGACAAGAGAGGTGCTGATTATGTTTTTCCGCATATTTTTGCAAACAGAAACAGATACGGGCATCTTCAAAGTTGCAATTGCACTCACAGACAGTTTCTGTTTCGCCTGAGCTTTTGCAGTGAAATGTTCGGAATCATGATGTCATGATGTCAGTAAATTGATTGATGTTTTAGCATGTGTGGCTGGCAATAAAGTTTCGGCTCCCATACTACAGCAACAAGCTGTCACAAGGCGCGCAAGGGCAGAGCCTACCTCGAAAAGGGTTCGGTGGATCTGTCGTAATAAGCTGAAAGATTCTCCAGTAATTGCATGTAATTGCCCCATATTGCCCCATATTGCCCCATCATCAGCTTGCCTAATTAGCTCTCTTTGATGCAGTTAAGTTAACCTGTGCTATGTTGCTTTCTTTGCTCCCAGACTCGCAGCTCTCCCATTTTTCAAGTCACCTAGGTCTTTGTCTTCCGCATGTTGTGTGCAGTTGGGTGCCATGTCAGCTAACTTCCTGCCCCAGGCTGCCAATGGGGCAGGCGCAGATGAGACACACACACGCGCACTCTTCAAGTGCAAGTGATGATGCTTGAAGAGCCTGGGGAATGCAATATTTTTTCTTTTCCTTTGAATGCAGGAATTTAATGGAATTAAATGGAATTGAGATGTTCAGCTTGCACGGCATTGCTGGAGAGAGTGTTTTCCTTGCAGGCCAGTAGCTGTCTTGCAGGGCTCGGGACAAGTGTGGAGCCTAGAAGGATAGAAGGACTCTGACGTTGGCGGCCAAGCCATGGACGTCGAAACCGAGAAACGGTACGGTGGAAGTCCATGCCCAGCGAAGTCCATCCAAGTCTTCTGTGTACGCAGAAATCCCGCTGTCTTCAAGCTTCACAATCCTTCCACAACAGAGATTTCGCATTGTTTTTTGGCGTGCCGCTTATGATACTTTGAATGGACATCACCATCACGCATTACACAGTGTAAGGCCTCGAACAGCTCAGCCTGCGCCTCAGCAAGGGATTCCCACAGAATGTTTGCTTGATTAAACTACAACTGTTTTCAATTGTTTTAATTGTTTTCGCTCATTTCGCTGGCAGGTGATGACGACTTGATCAGAGAAGCATTTGCATTTCTGCGGTCGTGCCTCGAAAGCGAATGAGAGCTGAAAATTGTCGCTGTTGGAGGCCCTCGCAAGAGGGCGACCTGTTACTCAGTGATTTCATTCTTCCCCCTGTGATATGGCGCAGATGTTTTTCATGTCACTGCCTGTAAATCCAACGATGCATGTGCAGTATGGCGCAGGGGCTAATTTTCAGGGTAAAGTTTGCGAGAAAAATAGTCAAAGCAGGTGGTCAAGTATGAAGAAGGTGGTAGTTACAAGATCTTTGTTGATGTCTTCGGAAGCAGGCCTTGGTGATTTGAGGGATCCCGAGGGAAATTAATAATGGAAAACAATAATGTTACAATCTTTTACATATCACAACTTGGAAAACTAACGTCTATGGCATAGACTTGCAAGCAAGATCAAGCAAGTAGTTGTTTGTATACAGATGTATACAGATGTATACAGATGTATACAGTATACAGTATACAATCAAGTAGTCAAGGTAGCCTCAAGGTAGTCTAGTGTTCCAGCTGTTCTGGTATTTGTTCAGATGCTTTAGGGATGTCCTTCCTTGTGCTTGACCCAGAGCTGTGAACGCTGAGTCACTTAGGCGACCCAGCTTGTCTGAGCGCTTCAAAGCGCGCTTTTCGTCTCCCCTGGACTTCGAGGACAGGGGATGTGACACGCGATATCAAATGATTTTTCAAATGGCTTTTCAAATGATTTTTCAAATGATCACGTCCAAAAATATCCGAAAAGAATAGTCCAATCTGACCCACTGATGTCCAAGACTTAGAAAGGTGGAAAAAAGATAACGAAGGGATTACTCAAAGAGAAATGCGTGGACTCTCGACCCTCTAGCCTAGCAAAAGAAAAGAATGAGGAGGGCTCTTGCATGCTCTTGCGAAAAGGCTTTGAACGCTTTCATGCAAGAGATGGGGTCACCCTACAGCCCTGTGGTCGATATCGAGTAACTGAGTAGGTTGCTACAACAAGCCACTATTGTCATTTTGAGATATTTTGAGCATGGTATCACAATGTATCACATCAGGACCCCAGTGACACCGACCCAGAGGTTCTGGCGACGGCAGGCTGCACAAATGCGTTTACGTTTACTGGACGTCATTTAACGATGCCATTTCCAATCGGTTCGTGCTGCACGTTTCAGACAGGTGGAATCACCATCTTGGCTGCGACCCATTGGAGTCCTCCCCGCATTCATTGCAGTGAGGCACGCTGACAAAGTGCGGCAACAGTCGAACTGAATGTACTGATTTGATCTGATTTGCTGTAGTCATGGTCATACAGTGATACATGTTTTTTTTCATTGAAACTCTAAATATGACATTTATTTGTTCCCACTGTTTTCATGTTTGGCTCCGTTTTTTCTCGATGGCCGTTGAAAAATGCAATTTCTCCCGTGATGTTTCTCTCGTTTGTAGGTGAAGCCAGGACAGCCGTTGTCATGGACGGCGCTGCCAGGCGGAACTCCCAGACACAAAATCGAAAACACGAAGAAAGAACGAGAAATCTGTCACGATTAGAATCAATATGTTGCAAGAAGTTTGCACAGAACATATGAAGGAACGAATAAATTGTTGATGCGTTACATGTTTCTCTTGAACTTGAAATCTCTTGTCATGTCATGTTGTTGAATATTATGGTTCTGTCAATGTATAATATAAGTATATTTACAATTATTTATATTTATATTGTATTATGTTTTTCTACACTTATTGTATAATATAAATATAATTATACAACATGCTCGTATTGTGTTTTCTACAATTTTCCTTTCCTTTGCGACTTGGAGACTTTGAAGCTGGCCAGGTCTGGCAATGAACAGCAGCAAGGTCCAAGGATTCAGCGGTTTCTGGGTGATGCGATTTCCCTGCACTGACAAGTTAGAGCCCCTCGGCAACGAAACGACAGTGGAGGAGCAAGACTAAGTAACTAATTAAAATTAATTAATCATATGAAATTTCTATATGAAATTAATTAATCAATTTGAACACATATGAAAACATGTAACACAATGAATATGAGGCTTGCGAGACGTTTGGATTCTGTCCTGGAGCCACGAGTGTTAAGGTTTCTTCTGAACGATGGCACCAGCAATTGGATGAAGATCCCCGGCCGCACCTGAGGGAAAGTCAAAGTTTCAAAGTTCGGATATGTTTGTCCCTGGAGGCCTTGTTGCTTTGTACTCCCATTTTGTAGAAAAGGTTTGCAGATGTTTGCAGAATTCTTCAAAATTCAACTTCGTCTATGCACTCGCGTGTGTACTTGAAAAGTCCTTCTCAATATTCAAGATGTGACATCACACTGTGACACATGCAGACAAAATCCTGTCCCTTGGGCGCTGCTTTGATTTGATTGAACTTTCCTTGATGTTTGTTTTTGTTAATCCATAATCACGAGTCAACAGATCAGCCTATATTTCTTCTCATATCTCAACTAGAACAAGCTGAAACAATATTTAAGTAACCTTGAAACATCTCTTGGTTTCCTTATTTTTCATGTCTGTATATCAGACATTTTGTGTCGTACCTCGTTTTCTTTTAAAACGTGTTGGACACATTTGGACACAGGAATGGCAACGCAAACTTCGTGGCAGAGACGCGGGGCCTGTGGGTTCTGCGCTCGGGGAAACTGAAAAAATATGCTGGCGACGAGGCCTCGGGGACGCTGAGAATGGGATGCTGTTGGCACCGAGGTCGGAGGTCAACAGGACTAAACAGGACATTGATGACATGTAAGTCATGTAAGGTAAACAAACTTGCATGGACTGCATGATCTGCATGGATTATTTTTTCAAAAATCGAACACAATTTAAAACCCCATCATGTCCAGAGTTTTTAAACTCTTTTTGTTTGTGTTCCAATTCATTTGTCTAATACACTCTTATCACGAACCATTAGCATACGAAGCTTTGCAAGGCTCACAGTTCTGGCAGACAGTTTTTGTTTCAACGCAAATACCTTTTATAAATTTACCCGGTGTTCTATTTACGCAGAGATCTGACAAGGATACGATAGGGTAAACAAGAAGACTAGCTTCCATGTTAGAGATCAGTCACTTTTCTTGGTTTGACAGATCATAAAAGAGCACTGTTGGCCTCTTCCCTTTCTGTTCTCCGTGGAGTGGTAGAGTGTTTTTTGTTTGTTCGTGGAGGATGCCTCTGATCATTTTGAGGGTGACACCTGTTGAACCTGTTGAACCTGTTGCATTTCGAAGCCAAAAAAATATGTCGGACCATCCTGACTGCTTCCTCCTGTCTTGAAACATCAGTGGCAATCTATTGCAATCTGACTCTGTTCCACTCGGAAGCAGATGTTAGGCAAAACCGCAAGTCGCTTTGTCCGGAGATATTGCTGATCTGGAGGCCAGAATTATCAGGAGTTCTTGTGCCTCATCACCAATGTTTGACAGACTCTTATTTTCTTTCTGACTTGAAGTTCAGGCAGGCTTTGTGATAGTGTCCAGGGATTTGCTGAGGGTCGCCTTGCTTCTGACATGCAGTCAACTAGCTATGTTTTGCAACACAAGATCCTAAACGGAAACTATGCAAGTTGCATCAAGTTGCGCAATTTTGCTCCATTTTGGAAGTCCTGATTTCTCATTTCTGAGCGTTTCCTGCAATGATCCCATAATGTTCCTTAATATCCCATATAGCCAATGGAACGCCCTTGCTCTGCAAAGTGCAAGGCCAAGGGCGGCATCATTTTGGTGTACCAAAGCCGATGGGCGCAACCACGACTTCATTATCGCTTCAGTGAGGCAAGGGACGAAATGACCGAAATGCTGGACTCGGAAAAGATTCAAATGATGACTCAGGAAAAGAGAAACATCAGCTGCCATGATTTCTGTGTGATTCAAAGCTGCTTCACACAAGAGTAAGCCATGATCGTAAAGAATCGTAAAGACCCAAATTGTTTTTCCAGGTCGAAGAACAAGATCAGAATTAAACACGGCACCTTACGAAAGAGCTTGGAATTTGAATTGGCATCTGTGAAAACATGACGTAAATATGTACTAATATGTCGTAAATATGTCGTAAATTGTGAAGATTGTGCACACATTTTTGGATTTTTCGATTTTTTTTTTGGAATGGCTTCTGAGCGCATCCCGGCAAGGATCGTCCTTGGACAGATCCACCTGGGGAGGCAGGTGAAGCAACGTGAAGCAACTGCATTTCCAACACATTGCTATGATATGGGTATTAGTTGGGTATTAGTGGATGTATTTGGTTTAGTTGCCTCGTACATTTCGCAACAAGCTTTGCATTGTTATCCATATTTTTTTGAAGTTACTAAGTTATTACTTGCTATCGCAATCGACAGTCTTTCCTTCACATTAAACAGATTTCCACATTTGTTTTAACCGCGGTTATTTGTGCATGTTGTTAATTGTTGTTAATTGTTGTTAACTGTTGTTGTTTGCATGTTTGGACTTTATTTTGGATTTTGTTTTGCATGTTGTTCTTCTCGTGTTGCGTCATTGTCTCCAGGCCTTTGCTCCAAGCGAAGTGACGGGATTCCCTCGCAGCGATGCTTGGTGGGCAATGCACCTGGATAGCCAGGCAGGAAACATCCGGAAACCCAACGGACACACCACAGGAGACCTCAGAGATGTCAATAAATCTCACAGATTTCAACATGCAGAATCCCCAAGGTCACAAAGAGGAGAGGACTGCAAGGACGTACATAATACATTGTAATGCATATACATATATATATACAGTATTTAATAGATGTAACAAGATCATGAAACATTCACTTGCTCGGAAATAACTCTCTCATTCTCGCTGCACTTGTTTTGTGTTAGGGCAAGCAGTTCCATCAAACAACAAAATGGCATGCTAGCTTGCTTCCTTTAGATTTTCTACTTTCACGGTCGTTCATGGCCAAGAGAATGTGAGAGTCATGTAACTAGGAGGTAAGTTGCTCGTGCCTTTGCTCGCTTTGCTTTATTTTTAAACCATTGCCTTGCATTGCATTGATGGGACGTGAAGCAGGCCGTGGAATTCGTTCCAAATGACGGTGGGTCGCAATGGCATAAGGACCCTGCAAGCGGAAGCGGTGGTTTGGGAATTAGTTCCGAAGAACAAAGTGTACCAATACTTTTTAAACCAAAGAGGTAACACACAATTATCACAGAGGTCATGCAAAATTAGAATTGGAAACATTGGCCTTAAATGATTTTAGTCGTGTACTAGTTCCATGACCGTAATGCCATAATGTACCATCCATGACAGTCTGACAACGTGGAGCACGTGTTTCACGCATCAAAGCAGCAGACTGAGAGATCTGGCGAGGCTTCGGGCGGGAACTGGCGCATTAGAGGCCTGGTATGGCCTGGTTGATCCTGCTGGGCCTGATACGAATCAAGGACCCCGGTTGATACCCCAACCGGGTGCGGTCAAAACATGGTTGCTCTTGGTTGCTTATATTATAACACTGTCAGGCCCAGGTGCATGGAAGCTGACCGGCAGAGTTCTCAGGGACAACTTCACTGATTTTGCAACCTTGAACTGCTGTTTGAACCCTCTCTGATATCTACAAAAAATGTTGAACAGATTCCGATATTCCAAGAGAGTGGGTGAAAAGCTGAGCTGCATTGCCCTAGGTGACCGCCTCGAAAGGATTGGTGAGGTGTGATCACTGGGAGTGACATCATGGTCGTTACACAAAGACGAGAGAAGGGAAGCAATGACCATCCGAAAGTGACAAAAGTGATAAGAAGAGGTCAACATAGGTCAACCGTGCGACCTCAAGAGCCAGACTTCCTGAAGCATGTGGACCAGCAGAAACTTTCTTATAGAAACCCGGCTGGAAGGGTGAGATGCTGAATGCATCCAGAAACATTTGGATGCCTTTTTTGCAGACCCTTACGATCTTCATGTGTCGGTCTTTCCATGGCTTTTGACTTTGCTCTCATCCCACTTTCTCCCACTGTTTGCTTTTTTGGCATATCTTGGCATATCTTGGTTTCACTCGTCTTGAATGCAATGCTATCTACACGAGCTGTGATAAGCTCGCCTCACCGTGTTCTGTGACAACAATGTACCTCAGGTGTGCGACTCCAGACATCTTTCACACAATTAGTACTGTCAGAGACAAAGAACCATCAGGATTTGTGCGAGGTACTAGATGCTCACATCACAACCGAGGAATGTTGCCGGTAGGAATATCCAATGAATATTGTTTCATTTGAGCCGTCATATTGTGAGATTGTGACTATAGCTAAGCAGGATGTCCTTTCAGCATCGATGAAATTTGGAGATTGATGTTGAATTGTGCCAAACGTTTGACCAACATGATGAACATCAATGACTTCACCTTGATGCTGCTTGAATGATGAACTTTGTCCTGTGATTCTGTAAATTCTTAAATTTTGCACTGTTGTTGTTTGACCACGTGTTTCACAGATCATGAACAAACCATGTGATGTAACGTTGAGACACGATATGTTCGAAGCTTCTGCTTTGTTTAAGTGCCAGGTAAGCGAAGCTGAAATCACGACGCCATTGACCTGGGCCAAAACACCGCATACACTGGGCATTGGCATGTCGGCAATTGTCGGCATGTCATACACAGTTCATTTAGTTGTTGCTTTTGCTGTGACGACATGTCCTCTGTCCTTTGTCTTTGAAGGTTGTACGACTGAATGCCAACAAATTTCAATGCCATTAGTTTCTGTACTTTTGCTACCGCTTGCCTTCGGGCCCTTCCCATCTAGATAAAAATCACATCGGAAAGTGTTTGTTTTGCAAGAAAGTTGTTGTTTTCGAGTTTGGTGCGATGGAAGACTCCGAATCAGAGGCCTGCGCCGGCTGTGGAGACCTCCCATGCACCTGGAGCTGTGATCGAACCAGAAGCGATTGAGAGCTTCAGGCGCAGCTGGTGACATCTTGTGACATCTGGCGACGTTTGGTGATCTGTACTGTAGGATATATCCCAAAGACACCACGTTTGGATCAGGAGGCTATAGGCATGCTATAGGCTATATAAGATATACGATATATAAGTGCGGACATATTGAGGTTGTCCAAAGGGAACCTAGACAGGTTGGCTGATCTTTTGGAGAGCAAAAATGTGGGGTGTCCCAGCAAGGGCGAGACCGGCAAGCAGGAGCTTTTGGGTCTCATAACAAATCAGCAGATAAAGGTGTTTTTCCTTAGTTTGAACCATTTGCAGATTTGAACCGTGTGTTTCACTTTTGATTTCTCTGGAGATACCAAGGTGATTCTCCTTTACCGCAGTGCCTGGACTTTGCCCCACTTGCACTGCAGGGATTTGACCCAGGATGTGCCTGGACCCTGGACCCCGACACCAGGTCAGCATCTCATGCGGGCGCTGGCACAGAAACGAGTCGAAAAGGAGAGGAAAAATGAGGAGAAAACAAATGAAAACAGGAGAACACGAGTTTAATGAATCATGAATGAATCATGAAAAATTATGAAAAGCAAGAAAGAAAACACAGAACAACATGGCACAGAAGGCTTGTGACCGACGCAGACGTCCGAAATCTCGAGAGTCTTGCTTCAGACTTGCAAAAGGACCATGAATCCCACAGATCCCAAAGTTCATTTTCTCATATTTTCTCAAGAGCTCCAAATATCCGGCGAAATGTGGCCCTATCTCAAGTGCATGCCGGGCATGAACGCTTGGAGGTTTGCCATTTTCACCTGCCGGAGACATCGCCAAAGTTTAGAGCTCAGAAGAACATTGCCAGAGTCCCGCGAAACAAATGATGTAAGTTTGTATGCCTGGTTCTTTAGTGACCATGGATGACCATGGTGTTTGCCGTGATGTTCTATACCATGGTTCGGAAAAAATGCCATCCTTTTTGCACATGCTGCAGCTGCAGGAATTGGATGGAACAACGGCGCTGTTCGTTGTCAAACTGTCTGGCGACGTCTTGACCTCAGGGTGAGAAGCCAAACTTCAGTGATTCGTCTGACAGACTCCTTGTTTTTAAGCTGAGACGTAATTTGACAGCCACCTGTGACCTGTTGCATTTGGTCCATTTTGGTCCCAGAGGTTTCTGCTTGCGAGTTCGTCTTGAATGACGGTGGACCTCACTACCGATGGGACAAGGTCACGGTCAGCGCAGGATCCATCGAAAGCACCACGGTTTTACTCAGGGCCATTGTGCCGAGTTGGTTTTTGTAAAAACGATTTGGAGCAATGCAGCTTGAGTTTTACAGTTTAACATGTTGACAAATGAGTTTCGAACACTTTGTTGACATGTTATGACATGTTGGTCTCATGAGTGGTCAGCTTGTGCCTGCAGGCCTCAGGAGGTGGAAACTTCCGTGCTCCGGGCCACGGTGTGCGGAACTCGAAGCAAAGTGGATGCCAAACAAACATCTTACGGTCTCTTACAGTTCCTCTTACGATAAGGCAGGATGTGTTTGGCCACACTGATCCTAAAAATGTACCTGGCTGATTTAGATAAGGTGTGGCTGGTGAGCGGCGGGCGCGTGGAAAAGTCGGGATGCCTGCGCTGTGTTGTCGAGCCACCAGATTTCAATGTGTTTGGTGATTTCTTCGAGTTGTAGGGAAGTTACCCCTGAGACTGGCCAGATCCAACAAATCTTTGGACTACTGGCATGTAACAATTAAAGTACTTAGAGAATGTAGTAACACTGCAACCTTTTTCCACTGTTTTGCGCGTGATAGGATGTGAGAGGAAGTTTTTGCTAGGTTTGACCTGCAAACAGGGCAGCCTCCAAAGTTGATTTAGATGTGGTTTGAGGTCTTCCCAAGGAAACAGATGCACATGAAACATGTTCCGATAGTTTTAGAACATGCTAACATGAAGACAAAGATTATAATTCAATATACTAAATGTTTTGCAAAACCCATTCCGGTTTCATCGTGTTTCATCCAAGTGCCCCACGACTGTGTCACGAAGTGGACCGATCAACCCAGCCTCGAACACTTGGATCGAGGCTGCAAGCACCTCCAGAGGCCTCAGTGCCAGAAGTGGCCAGGACCCCTGAAGAACGACTCAGACGATGTTCAAACAGATTCCAAACAAAATTAAAACAGCGAGATTCTGAACAACACATTTTAATAACTCAGAGGAGTTCTCATGAATTTTATCCATGTTACTTTCTGTGACCCTGCTTTCAGTGGCAATCTCTGCTTTTGCAGAATCTGTGGCGCCACCAATGTGGATCTTTGGTTCTTTGGTTGAGGTATGACTTCTGGCATTGTGATGCTTGCTTCTGCTGACATACAAACATCATGATGTCATTATGTCACTTTGTGATAACTTGATGATGTCAAGGTTAAGGTCACGCGCACCTCTGTGTCGCTTTCGTGGAGATCAGCTTCCACGAGTGTCAAAGGCTGGCATGGAGATGCAGGAAACAGGAATCCAACATAAACCAAAGAATCCAAAATCCAACCACTTGGTTTTAAGATGTTTTAAGGATCACCTGGAATCTGACCTCATTTGTTGCACGTGACCCCTGGCATTGTTGAAATTTGTCGAATTTCTAAACATAGACTAAACATACTAAGTTACTAAACCTATCTAAACCTGTCCAAGTTGAAGATTTTTCCGAAACATTGGAAGATTTTGACGATTTTGACGAGTTGTGTCCAGCTGCAGCAGCACTGCAGGCTACCGTGTTTTCCGAAACGGTCAGCAGGCCGGAGCTGAGGGAGTTGATGACATGATCCTGACCTGATCTGATCCTAATTTCAGATTTCAACAGATGTATAAAATCTTTAATACATTTAATACAATTAATTTCAACAATGCCTATGTATTAAATTGTATTAAAGATTTCAAGTGTATTGCTTCATGTTTTGCTTCCATCTTCATCCCATTCCATCTCATATCGCCAGGTTGCCGCACTTCCTGGGGGTGTTTGCCACCTGGACACTACGGATTACTATTGTCACGATTGTCACGTCATCACCAGAATGCTGGAGGACCATGTCTTGTGCAACACATTTGCCTTGCCACAGCCCACATTCTCTAAGGTCCTGCAATACGTCGATACAGGTCTTTATGCTGCACACCAGTACTCATTCACAGTTGCTGCAGTCAGCACTCAAGGCACGGGGAACTGTTCGCCACAACTTGCGCCAAAGCCCAGCCAAAATACGGAATCCAATTTTGACAGTGAAAATGGGCAGACAAGCTGAGGGAGAACGAACATGCTTGGGCCCGACATGGTAAACATGGTAGGGCAGTGGTGAGTGGATTGGAGAAAGAATTGCCTTAGATGGTTTGACCCTGACACTTGTCCCTGGAATGTGTTCAAAGGTTTGAAAACTGAGTCTCAAGCTAAAATTGATCGGCCGACGGCATCGTTTATTATCTTTACCTCGGTATGTTTGCATGAATTGTGCATGTTTCCACTGTTTCCACAGATATTTGCATCAACTCACCGCATCAGTTTTCTTGTTCCTGCATAGGCGTCCTTGGACAGCCAAGTGAAGCAGCAGTTGCCACGACAGAACCTGCCGGCTTGGAGCACGGTTTAAAGTTGAACGCTACAAATTGCACAAAGTGAAGTAGGCGGAGACGTTGGATTTGTGACGCAGAGATAAGTTCCTACTTCGCAGTATTTCGCAGTACGGAAGGAATCCAAATAGTCCTATTTTTGCATTCGCATTGTGGTTGCAAAGCGCAACTCCGAGGCAAACCTGGCATTCCCAGCGGCTTGCGGGTCACACTCTCCAGTGGGAAGGCCCCCATGTTCTGTAATACGCTGAACAGCTTGAAATTGAGTCTTTCCTTACGACCAAGTTCGAGTTGATCACAACTTTGAGTAAGTAATTATCAGCTGCCTGTATGTCCTGGTATGTCCTGGTATGTCCTGGTATGTCCTGGTTCATACTTAGTAGACTCGTGACTTCTGGTTTTTTTTTGTGGCCCTGATTACTTTGATTCGTTGAGATTACTTTGTTGCACCATCTCTGTAGACTTCATGTCGACTGCCAGGGTGTCACACTGGAGTGGGCCCAGCCGGAGGATTGGGGGCGCCATGGGTTGGACAGACTACTGCGTCAGTCTCAGGAAGCAAACGAATAAGAGGCAAGACTCTGAAATCCTAGAGAAATGCGGAGGGGAGCGGTAACACAGAGTCTTAAAAGAAACAGGATTGCTTGCACTGACCAAGATCACTCAAGTAGGAATTGGTCGCTAATGCACTTTGCACATACGATGCTTTGCAGCTCAATTCTCCATGCCAGACTGAGATAAATACAACAAGTCAGCTAGCATAGAGTTGTTGTATCTTAGTTGACTGGTTCAGTCTGTTGTGTTTTTTTTCCAGTTCCATGTTGGCCATGTTGGCCATGGTGGAGGACCATGGTGGTGCACCTGTCACCGCGTACGTGGTCGAAAGAGATGGAGAGGTGGTGGCCACCTTGCTCCACGCAGAGAAGATCACCTGGACCGGAGCCGGAAAAGCCGGAGAGATGTAGAGAGATGTGGGGAGATGATGAGAAATGGATAACAAGGTGGCCAGAGATGTGCAGACAACAACTCCAGCAACTGGTAGGAGCTGGTAGGAACTGGCAGCAGGTAGCATCCACAGAGCCTATTGATGCCTATTGACATGCGCTGACCATTCCACTCAGAACTTGTATTTTGTAGCCTCAGGACGGACACCGGTGTCACACGGGGCGATTCTTACAGTGCCTCAGCTGCAACAGACGTGGTAATTGGACGCATTGAATCCTCCCTTAACACTTGCACAGCCGTTTGGCTCTCAAAAGGCAACAAGAGCCAGTGACCCATCAGAAGACCACTCAGATAGCTCTCAGATCCAAGGCTACTCTGTGTTTGCGTGTCACTTGCCGCCAGCCGAACAGAAGGAGAGCCGGTGGAGCAGAGGTTGAGTGTGATATGCTGAAGTGCTAAATCATTGGCATGTTGTTCTTGACAAGAAGTATAGCGAAACTCAAATCACCCACAACATCAGCGCTGTCGTGAATAATACGGCGAGGAACTTAGACAGAAAGTCCTGAAGGATCGAGAGGCGCAGAAATGCGCAGAAGAAACAATAAAACGACACCCTCTGGAAACACGTCTTTTTGAGTTGTTGTAGGCCTTGGATCATCTTGGATCTATATGTGCCATTGCAAGATATTACCCAGGTAGTTTGTACCGCTTGCATTTTCGAGCCGAAGGGGGACCCAACGTTTAACATGTTTTTCTTTTTCCATTGTCTCCGAATGAAGGCGTTCGCCGCGTTTGCTGGCTGACTAGCCTATATCGATGATATGTGTATCCTATTTCGAGCCATCTCAGCCCAGGCTGCTGCACCACCAGAAGAGGATCGCGACATTCTCCTGAATATCCCGGAGGAGATAATGAGATGATCCAGATGATCCGCTTGAATAATGAGAGAGTTTCTCAAGGTTCATCAAGAAAAGTTTTCATCAAACTTGCTTGTTTCATCTTTGCTCAGGAGAAAAACAGATTTGAAAATTCAAAACAACCAACAACCAACAACCAACAACCAAAAAACAACAACCAACAACCACAACAACAACCAACAACCAACAACCAACAACCAACAACCAACAACCAACAACCAACAACCAACAACAACAGCAACAGCAACCAACAACCAACAACCAACAACCAACAACCCAACAACCAACAACCACAACAACAACAACAACCAACAACCAACAACCAACAACCAACAACTAACAACCAACAACAACAACAACAACAACAACAACAACAACAACAACAACCAACAACCAACAACCAACAACCAACAACGCAACAACCAACACAACCAACACCAACATCAACAAACCTAACAACCAACACCAAGCAACCAACAACCACTCAACCAACAACCAACAATCCAACAACACAACAACAACTACCAACACAACAACTAACAACACTCACAACCACTAACCCAACAACCAACAAACCAACACGCCACCACCAACAACCAAGCAACCACAACCACAACTACAACCACAACCACCATCCAACAACCAACAACCAATCAACCAACAACCAACAACACGCCAACATCCAACAACCAACAACCACAACAAAGACCAACAACAAATCCAACAACCAACAACCACAACCCAAACCAACAACCAACACCAACAATCCAACACCCAACAAGCCACAACCAACAACCAACCAAATCCAACAGTCCCACATCCCAACAACCAACAACCAACAACGCAACAACAACAATAAACCACCAACCACCAACCACCAACCACCAACCACCAACCACCAACCACCAGCCACCAGCCACCAACCACCAACCACCAACCACCAACCACCAACCACCAACCACCAACCACCAACCACCAACCACCAACCACCAACCACCAACCACCAACAACCAACAACCAACAACCAACAACCAACAACCAACAACCAACAACCAACAACCAACAACCAACAACCAACAACCAACAACAACAACAACAACGACCAACAACAACAACGAACAACCAACAACCAACAACCACAACCACAACAACAACCACAACCAACAACCAACAACCAACAACCAACAACCAACAACCAACAACCAACAACCAACAACCAGCAACCAGCAACCAGCAACCAATAACCAACAACCAACAACCAACAACGTTTCGGTCCTTTGTTGGCGCGCGCGGACCTGCTAACCTTTTATTCATATCTTCAGCCACGCGTTGTCATCTGACACTTTCCCAATTTTTTTGGGATCGCATCCAACCTGAGACATTCTGGCTTGCCGGTAGAAAGCCATGGCCTGCAACAGTGTTTCTAATCCGGGACTATCCAAATTTTTTTGCATTGCCAAAGGAATTATGTGTGACTGGGATGGCATCATGCGACCTACTTTGTTGACACGTCTCAAAGATCGCTTGACACGTGAAAATTCTGCTTCACTAATTATCTCCTCCCACGATTTTGGCAATTCTTTTCTTTGGGCTCATCACGCAAGCTGGCTTCTTCATGGATGCACTCCGAGTTAACATTTTTTGTTGTTTTTTCGACAACTTGCTCATGCGAAAAGACATAGTCGGTGAGAGTTCATCCTCAGTGAAGCTAACACATATCCTACATGGTCGAAGTGGTACATTTCAATCTTCTGGGTTTATATTTTTTTTAATGTGGTAAAGCAACAAATCTTTGTTCCAATCTGAAGTCAAGCATCGATGCTGTGACGGGCAGTGGCTGCAGGCACGTGAATGTTTGCAAAGGCGCCCACCACTGCTTTCCCGGCATCCGTGCCAGCAACCACAGAAGGGCCATCTATGTGCTTTGACACCACTCGGCTGAACTCAGTGAAAGAGAATTTCTTATATCGTAACATCACGCGTGTGTGTAAATGCAAGAGAAGATCTTACTACGTAGCATCACGCATGTGTGCAAGTGCAAGAGAAGATCTTATTACGTAACATCACGCGTGTGTGTAAATGCAAGAGAAGATCTTACTACGTAACATCACGCGTGTGTGCAAGTGCAAGAGAAGATCTTACTACGTAACATCACGCATGTGTGCAAGTGCAAGAGAAGATCTTATTACGTAACATCACGCGTGTGTGCAAGTGCAAGAGAAGATCTTACTACGTAACATCACGCGTTGTGTGCAAGTGCAAGAGAAGATCTTACTACGTAACATCACGCATGTGTGCAAGTGCAA